GTGGAAGTTTGCACAGGAGCATCAGCAACAATAGAAAGGAAAAGACTGTAAATGACATCTTTCCAATAAAATCATTTAGAAAAGTATTGATTTTTCAAACTCATTTCATTATTCCAAATAAATGTCAACAGATACTAAATTCAATATGAAAGTGTCTTTAGGTTATTTTCAATACCAACTATAAAGTCTTAGAAGTTCTCACTAAAATTTGCACAGGAGCATCAGCAACAATAGAAAGGAAAAGACTGTAAATGACATCTTTCCAATAAAATCATTTAGAAAAGTATTGATTTTTCAAACTCATTTCATTATTCCAAATAAATGTCAACAGATACTAAATTCAATATGAAAGTGTCTTTAGGTTATTTTCAATACCAACTATAAAGTCTTAGAAGTTCTCACTAAAAATGTTACAAAACAAAATTGACTTAAAATTACTGAGCAATTAGCTTTATTTGTAGCACTACTTTTACGCTGACTCAAAGCTGTGTGCCTCTAGTCTTAAAATCTGCTGTAAAACAAATTACTGTTGGTATTATCGAAGTATTTCACACATTTGTACGGCATTTGAGAATATTGTCCTAGATGAGTAATTAAAACATTACTGATCATATGAAGCAAGAAGAAAACTAAGATCACTGTGGTGCATCTGACAGACTACATGTGTGAGCTGAAAGCCAGGAACCTTATGATTTACAGAACGTATGTACAAGACAAACCCTTTAGAATGGTGCAGGTTCTGCCACGTGATGCCTGTTTGTTACAGATCATAGCCTGTCAAACCTGCCTTTGCAAAGGGCACGAATTAGGAAGTTACTGTATAAAGACAGATGCAGGTGAAGCAAATGATAACTTACGGAGGAACTTTCAATTAAACGCAGAAAAAAAATGGCCAAGACATTTGGTTGGAAAAAGCCCTACTAGGCCACCAAATTCTACCTGAACAGGTTTTATGATGACAAACTTGGCAATTTGGAACATTTTCATTGAACAATCATATAAAATACTATGTTATAGCTGCACAATTTATCTAGGAAGAAATGGTCACTAACTTGGGCATATGTAAACAGAATGAAAAGCATGTCACTCTAGTACATATGAAAATACTAAGAATGAGCTTTGTAGAATATAATTTAAACATGAAACTGCATTTTAAGTGAAATATTTTAGATGATAATTTAAATGGAGTGGTCAAAATTAAGACCTACACTTCATGTAAACATTCGTATTTATAAATAAATTAGAAAAAGCAAAGGAAAAAAAAAAAAAGAGAGGGACTTCCTGAGGTGGCTCTGCAGCCAGGTACACAGTAGCACTAAGCTCCATTTCAGGAAACCAAGGCATCTAAAAAAAAGTGCAGGGTTGTTTATTTTCCTCTAACTGTTGGAATGGAAGTACATTGGCGTAGTTTTTACAGGGCTTAACCCCTATGAAAAAAAATCAGTGCACAGCAATTATCACTGCTCTTTTGCATCCATTAAGGCAAAACATGTATCTACATACAATAATCTACATTCTTAGCCATCTTATTTTAATACTATGTGTGATTTTAAAGCAGAGAAGGTGTAAAATGAGCAACGAATCACTCAACCATAGAGGATCAACAGGGATTTATGCACTTAATACCAGATCTTCTCCTATTCATATGGGAAAAAAGTGCAAGTATAACATGCTACTGCTCAAGAACACTGCAGCTAAAGGTCACTGTAAACTGCTTTGCCAAGTCATGGTATTTCTGGCACAGATTAAAATATCTACACAATTAAATAAATACTGCAATTAGACTTGTGGGGCTTTGGTTTTGTTTCATCTTTACTATAACTATATCCACCTCCTGCAATATTGACCAAAACTTAACCTTTCTGAAGTAGATGCCAGATACAAGGTGTGCAGCAGCACAGAACCTTGATTTCCAGCATTACAGAGTTAGAAATCCAAGAGGCTTACAGCAATTTTTTGTGTCTTTGGGAACTTTTGTAGGACTATGAAGAGTAAAATACTACTGGGACTAGAACAAAGTTGTGTTGTAGATGATGCTACATAAAACGCTCAAAGTATCTTCCCTCTTTGATTCAGCAAGAGCTACTCAGTAGTCTACAACTGACATGCAGATATGTGCCTTTTTTTTTTTTTTTTTTTTTTTTTTTTTTTTTTTTTGCATTTTAGTAATGTAGAGTGTTTTGGGAAACCATCTGCTGTAGTTTCACTGTATCTCAGTTTGACCAGAGGGAAAACATGGGCTAACTTCTGCAAGAGCACATCCTCAAACTAAGGCACAAGCTACACTATTATCTAAGAATGCAGGTCATTACACAGTATTACCATCACACTGGTAATGCAAATCTCACTTGCTTTGCCACTAACCTGAATGTAGAGTGTTTTGGGAAACCATCTGCTGTAGTTTCACTGTATCTCAGTTTGACCAGAGGGAAAACATGGGCTAACTTCTGCAAGAGCACATCCTCAAACTAAGGCACAAGCTACACTATTATCTAAGAATGCAGGTCATTACACAGTATTACCATCACACTGGTAATGCAAATCTCACTTGCTTTGCCACTAACCTGAGCCTTTGTTCTGACAGTTTGGATACCATTATTCATATTGCTGTACACTACTATTTCCTTTCTTTCAACTGTCTTCTCAGAATTCAGTCAAATGAAAAAAGGAAGGAAAAGGAAAAAAAATAAATAATTACATTACATGTAAAGGGAACAGTAACAGTCTATGTAATGTAAATGTTGTCTTTAAATGTTTCTATTTATTCCCACTGATTGCTTTGTTTTATAATATACAAATATCTTCTCTTCAGGTGACACCGGGCTGAAGAGCACCAAAATTCCACCCCAAGTGGTATTATCAGATGAACTCTACCCTCCAGAATCAGCTCCCTTTGCAGTTGCTGGGAATTTTTTCACTTGGTCCATGGTAAAACTCCCAACTTTGCCAAAAGCAGAATTCGGCAACTAACATCTTCTAATTTTACATGAGCACAGATTCTAATTAAAGCCATTGTAATACATCCCAAAAAGCGCCAGTGACAATTCAGAATGTAAAGAGATAATTTTGGAAAAGCCAAAAAAACCTAAGGCATAAGGCAAAAAAAATATTAACAACGGAAACTGCGCAGGTAAGTGATGAAGATTTTCATTTATATATAAAATTCTCATTATTTCAAATATTATAATGTTAAACACTAGAACTTGAAAATGTAAGTACAATAAATGCACTGACTGCATCTTTATCAATGGAGCCCCCCAACAATCCCATTTACTTTAATAAATGAATATTTATTTTTTCACTTCATCTTACATGATAAAAATTTGTACTAATTAAAATAAATAAAATGTTTAAAAATAAGTTGGTGCGCTATCATATATGCCCTTTACAATGGGGAGGATCAGAACTGTACACACAAATACCACAAACCATTAGTAATCCATAAAATAATACTGATCATAAACCTATTACAGAATTAAACTACAGCTAATTTAATCAAATACACAGTAAATTTAAAAATTTATTAGCAAACAAATATATCTGATGAAGACATGAAATACTCGAAAGTTTCATTCTTAGAGCTGAGTAAATCAGACTCTGAAAGTCGATGGAAAAAAGTAAGTAAAAACAGAATGAAAAGACTTCAAGACTACTCATGTGCTTAGTATGCAAAACTTCCTATAGACCAAATTGCTGCCTGTAAATCCAATTTATATTGTGTAAACATGGAGTGTCCAGAATGGCAGATGATGATTTGCAACTGTAACTACATTTACTGCAGTCATATTGCTAGTGGACAATAATGAAAAATTAAGAGAATTAAAATTAAAAGAAGAAAAAAAAAGAAAGCAGCAAAGCAGGGTATTAAGATACATTTTAAGGCTTAACTAACCACCTGACTTAGGGCTCTAGGCCACTTCTGTAGGATAGGAGAGACAGAATCCAGAAAACACTAGCATGGAGTGGAGACATAAAACACAGTAGTTCTTGTCGACAGCACATTAATATTTGTTCTATGAAACCACAACAAAAAGTATACCCTGCAAAAACAAGCACTAATTGCCTGCATGGAAAACAAACTTCTGCAGCGCACGTTATAAACAGAGGTATTGCAAAATTTTAAGCAATGTGGACCAGTAACCACCAGCAAAAGCTGATGTAACTTTTACGCACATATTGACTACTGAAAATAATAAGCATTCATTACAGTCTTCCTATTTAAAAACGAAAATAAAATTTCCAATAAAATAAATAGCTGAAGTGTGATTACCCCTCATCTTATTTGTAGGAAAAATCTTTGCATTATGCAAGCATATCTACAGTGCCCTACAATGGCAGAATTAAATATATGTTGCTCCTTAAATTGGAAATCACACTTCCATGGTATAATATCCTACAGTGATATATATATACACACACACAAATACACGCGATCCCTCTTGGTTCCATTCTATAAAGAGGTTTCGGCATCCACGTATCTCACAACAGGTGAATTTTCCACATTTATTTTCACACTTTCTGGTTTTTCAGGGCTGTTTGAAAGCAAAGAGGAGAATGTAAGGTTTGGTTCACTTTAGAAAACATTAACTTTCAAGCATTTTATACTTCACAATGAACACAATGTATTTACATAAGGATACTTTTATGATGATGCATCTCTATTATGTTTTAGTAACTGTTATATACTAATCACAGGAACAGTATAAGCTTGCAGAGAGAAAAGACCAGTATCTCATCTATAAATACCACTGCCCATTCCACTGCTTTGATTGATCTGAAACTGTCTTGCAAAACATCTTTAAAAAAACCAACAGAGCAACCCACAAAACTCTCTAGCTAAAAATACTCAAAATACATAACAAGCAATATTACTAATACTGCTTTACTTTTAGGCAAGGAAACAATTCTGTTCACAATACAAGACTGGAAAAACATTTCAGTCTTTTCAAAACAGGGAAGTACACTTGCAACAGCAGTAAAGGACAATTGGAAACCTGCATAAATGTCCATTTAAGTGAAGACCTGAAAGACCTGAACAACTGACACTCTCAGGGGCACAGATACTGAACAGTGTCTCACCCAAGGACAAAAAGGAATGTCCTGAGGTAGTTGCAGGGCAGTAGAAGAGAAAATGGACAGCATAAGAGGGAGGATTCCCCAGGCATGAGTTTTAGAAGAGATGACCCATCTGTGGAGTTGCTCTTTAAGGAAAAAAAAGATGTATCAGAAATTCACACAGAAAAAAATTTTGTGATTCCTTGGAAACTACAAGTGTGCCTGTACCATGACAAATGGTGGAGGGAGTAAAAGAAAATTTAAAACTATTTTTTAGATAATATATGACTTTTAATAAATAATGCCAACCCACACATCATGTCAGCTGGAATTATAAAAGACATGCTTGCTTCATACTGTGTAACTGTTTGCAACCAATAAATCTGAAAATAGCAGTGACTCCAGAACCATTTATAGCACAGCACTAAACATCTGGCCATAACACCAGGTGAAGACCATTATGCAGAAAAACCTTAACAGAATTGACAGGAATAATTTACTGAGATTTACTTTTGACTGAGCAGTGGTGACATCTCTAAATCTCTCTAGCAACCACTGTGCAAGAAAGTGCAGTGAACACCTCAAAACAGCAGCCAATTGAGTTAAGGCTCAAGGAAGTCCTGCCTTCTAAATTTTCCAGATTAGTGCACTACTGCTTCTCAAAAGAGCTGGTTTCTGGCACCCGGTGTTTTTGATTTTTCAATTTGTAGTTTTAGCAAGTCCCCTACCAAGTTGGCATTTTCACCATAGTAAACTCAAGCGGATGGAATCAAAGGGAGAGAGACAGCTTGGACAGTTATGTACAAACACTCCCTCACCATGTGATGGAATCAAAGGGAGAGAGACAGCCTGGATAGTTATGTACAAACACTCCCTCACCATGACCTCTTCCACTGAGATGTCAATTTTATACAAACCCTGACCATTTCTTACCTCTGAAAGATGTCTTCCTTTGACAGAATTAGCTGAAATGAATTAACCAAGAGAAGATGCATATACAGACAACAGGATTGCATGAGCTTAGTTTTCTGAGGGAACCATGCCCATTTTCTCCCCTCTTTCCTACATATTTCCTACATTTTGCTTCGTAGTCTAAGCAATAGCTGCATCGTGATCCTTTCCTACATATTTCCTACATATTGCTTTGTAGTCTAAGCAATAGCTGCATCGTGATGGAACAGACCACACATACCAGCCCTTATAAATTACAAGCCTTTCAGGAACTTGGGGATAATTCCACATAAATATTCAGGTTTTGGGTTGTTTCCCTTGATAGATTCAGTCAGACAGAGAAGAAGCTAAGACAGAATAGCAGAATAATTCACTACACACAGTTTTAGTTGTTCGATGGGGAGCTCACTGAGAAAAAGGCTCCTAGCCATCACAGAAGATGCATGTCAGCTTACAGGGAATGTTCACAGCACTGAGGACTCCTGATCTGTCCAGTACTCCAATCAAATGTATTTCATATTCAGTGGAGATAATATTTGTGCCAGGTTTCATTTTTAAGATGAAATTTTAAATGAGTTGAGGAAAAACAAACCAAGCAACCCACACATCCACAAAAATATGGGGCAGATCCTCGGGCAGCATAAAGCAACAATGGAAGTGCTGGACTTACCTTTTACTCCCACTGGAATTTGTAATATTCAGGATCAAACCACTCCCATGCTCATAATACACTCTAGCAAAGCTTTTAGAAATCCTAAGCCCATCAGAATAGTAAACAATGGTATTAAGCAAATAAAGAGTCATTTTCAAATTATTATTGAAAATACATAGAAATTGTTAAACTTCAGAATAAAGAACAAAAAGTAAGTTCAAGTTCCTCAAAAGTAAGATGTCAATAATTCACATTTACAAGCCACATATGCTCCAGTTTTTTTGAGACACATTTCAAAAAATACAAGTACAGCTGCTAAACACAAGACCATAGTTAGAAAACATGTGAGTAATTATAGCTACCTCAGGTTAACTCTGGTTACTTTGGCATTCTCAGTACTCATGGCAAGAGCCTTCCACTGTGCAGTTTTGGCCATTTCGTCTGATATGTTTACAATTGAGGGATCAATGCTAAAGAACAAACATACTTTCTGGTTAGTATTCAATTCCTTGCAACAGTATTATACTTCCTGTCACTCATCAATTACATCAGTTGTGCCTTCTTTCAATATTTACACAGCCACAAGTTAAGTTCATCTCTTAAAAAGGTATTTCAACAAAAAAAATTGAAAATTTAACTCTCTAGCACTGCCATAATCACATTGCATCTTACAACACAGACATCACAAAGACATCGAGGATATTCAAGTGGTATTCATTCCTATATTACCGTAACTTCAGGAAAAATGCTCAGTAATGAATTTAAACACACTGTTCTGCTAATGCTTTTCATAAATCAGTTACTTTACGTGCAAAAGAGCAGATATTAATGAAATTTCAGAACTGATAACTCAGGTGAGATTTAAACCCACCAAAAATCTAGAAATCCCAACTTAAATTCCCAGATTTCAAGTGGGTTTTCTTCCTGCAAAGCCTTACTAGACACTTTTCAACAATCTTTAGCCACACCAGCCCCCTTCCAAGTCCTGCAGAAGAGAAGTGTACCCTCAACAGATGATAACATTTTAGAACCCATTTCCACTTTTGTCCTCCACACATTTGCATGTACAGTAAATTTTGGTGTTGCCTGTAGCTATGTTTTCTGTTCTGTCCCATACCTAAGCTTCAGAATCTACCCCAGGTTATCTGTAAGAGTTCTTCAAGTCACAGAGAAATCTTTCAAAGCCATTTTTCCTCAGGAATCCCCACAAGATGCAAGACAGCAGAATACACAGTCAACACATGCACATAGTTGATGAAATCGCAGTTCTACTGCAACTCAAATGTTTGGGTTGCTCTACAGAGCAACTCAAACGTTTTTAAAAAAACCTTTACAATTTAGCATTTTCATTTGAGCTGCTGACATCTGATTAAGCTTGCTCTCAGAGTAGGCAATAGCACTGAGCAAGAGTATCTGTCTAACCCAAATTTCTGCCTGTTCCCAACTCACATCAGGGTAGACCTGATCGTACCTTAGATCCATAAGAAGGCTAATTTTGAACCTAGGAACAACTGGCATTAAAAAGAAGCAAAAAAACTTGGCAAGCTATTTATCTGTCACATCTTCAGGGTGTGTTGAATAGTTGTAGAATACCTAACAACTAAATTAAACATAGCCCCAGTAAGGGGGAGACATACTGAGACAAAATGCCTTCCAAACCTGAAGGAATTTCTAACAGTGAAATTCCCGCACTTCCTTTTCCAGAAGAGAACCTGTTACCCTGTCCTTGCATTTCCTTTCAGAAAATGACCTCTTAAAGCAAAAAGGATTTTTTTATATCGCAAAAATTACAGACTTTAGTCCTCACTTAAGTAAACCATCCAAGAACTACACACTTAGACTTCTGAAAAATCCAAGTGGCTGGTAAACACATGGCTCAACTGATGCTATTAGTTGCTTAATGCTCAGTATTTCATGCACAGCAGCACACAAATATTCCAGGAAAACTGACCAAGGACGCTTCTTCACCTTTAGTACATATGGTCGAAATTGAGTCATCTGATCTGTTCAAAATGGTCATGTAAATTTATAATTAATAAGCAGTTTTAAAGAACAATGCAACATAAAAATACAACCATAGCATCATGAGATATACCTTCACATTTCCTAGTTGTGGCTAAGTTACAGTCTTGGGGAGAAAGAAAATATAGTTCAACTCATATGCAGTCAACTTAATATAAAGCAAATTACAGCATGTGATAAGAAAGAAAAACAAAGACCAACATTCTATTATACCTGTATTTCAGGGTTTTTACAGGAAAATCCAGATTTGCTTCTCCATATGCAAGGTGTACACTTTCACTGTCTCCTGTACGAAGCATTCTCTCTGCCTCCTGTAAATTCCAAGTAAAACGTTTGTCAAATTACTCACGGAGCAGAAATCAAAGACGTATCTCACACTGGTACTTATTCTATAGGGGTAATAGTCATTTCTCTGTAGGTACAAGAGTAGAATGCAGGAGATACACCTTAAGACCTTTATTCTTTTAGGTATTTTATTCAGGTAGGTGAGATGTGGGAGTCAGGAAAGGAGTGTTGTAAGTTTTGTAAGGAATTCAGCTAGGTGGTATACAGCAAGGTAGAACTTTTATGAAGTTATACATGCTATATTACTCTATATTGCTAACTAGAGTTGGTTTTAATGACAGCTCCACAAACACACATGAGCAAAATGTGCCTGATATTAACAACAGTTTTGTGATTATTTTAAGCAGGACAAAGAACTCTACTCCACTGCTTTTTTCTCATGCTCCTTTTTTCTCTCCTAACCTGATGAAAGACAAAGAAAACATTTTTGTGCTAAAAATTGCTTCTTTCCACATTGCTTGCTAATTTTCATCACACAGTTCATAACAACACCATTGAAACAGCGAATTTTCCTTAACTGCCAGCAATAATTCCTCTAGCACTAAATCTCATTAGTAAAGAAATTTCAAAATTTGTATTTGGTATATAAGGTCCTATGCTGAGGTCACTTAAAATTCCTTTAAACTGATCTGATTGGTTTCACACTTACTGCTTTCTCTTTTTTCTTTTTGTCATCTTCTTTCTTCTTCTTACTTTCTGGCATTAGATCATCAAGCCAGCTAAGTTCTCTTTTGGTGAAGCATAAATCCATGAGCTTGCGAATGAACACTAATGCTAGAACCTTAAGGGAACCATAAATGAAATAATTTATATTAAACAGTGAAGAAATGTACACACACTTTCAGTACACTCAGAATCTGTACATGAACCCTTTTTTTTGTAGTACTAGTTTTACCTTACCGGGTAAGGTAATTAATTTCCACTTTCAATAGCTATTTACAACTGAATTGCTTACTTTCAGGAATGAAAATGTGTTTCAAAAGTGAACAACTTGTACTACAGGGTTTTTTGTTTCCTTCCCACTCCTTTCTTTCTTAAGGCAGCAAATATCTCCTGAAAAGATCCTCGATGATGCATGTAGTCTTAGAGAATTATTAACTTAAAAACTAGAAAACTTACCATCATAGGGAAAACAACAGCAGCTGCAGAGGCTTTAATCACCCACAACAGAACTAGACAAGTGAGCTGAACCACTGTAAAGATATGGACCTTCCAGAGTGGCACATAACGTAGATAAATCAGGTCGGGTTGATGTTTGGCAGGCATTCCAAACAGTTTTATACGGTCAAAAAACTACATCGAAAAATAAAATCATCCTTCAGTTAATTATTGCCTGCCTCACCAAAAAGAAATACACATTTTTAGGAAACTCCAGAAAGCTAAGTGCCCTGGTTTCAGCTGGGATAGATTTAATTTCCTCTTAATCCCAAATAAAATACTAATGAAGGACACTGAACATTCAAGGGAGTGGAACTGAGAGCTGTTTTGTTGGGTTTTTCCCTCCCCCCTCAAAAAAAAATTTCAAAATGTTTCAGAGAATTCGTTCCTCACCTATACTATTGAAAGAATAAATGTGAAAAAATTAAGAAGTGAGGACACCAGACACTAAGAACAAATAGCTGAACATGACACTCGGGAAATTATTCTACATACTATTTAGACAATATGGGCTAACTTCATTGTGGCTTGCATAATGTACTGTGTTACAGTTTCCTTTTCATTCAGTGTTAAACAAAAGCAAACTGCTCATTAAAACCAGACTTTACCTGAATGCCTTTTAATGAAGATACTCCCATGTAAAGAAAGACACCATACAGAACTGGCATTGGAATAAACTGAGGAAAAAAACACCCACAGTTACAAGTGGAATCAACAGATCAAGTTACATTTACTGTCTATTTTACTGAAGTGAAATCTGTAGAAGCTGAGGCCCTTGATTTATAGAGAAAATAGATGCATCACTGAGCAACAAAAAAAAATTAAAAATCTAGAACGAACTAGGCTATCACTAGAATTAAAAGAGTGGTTCAGTCTTGTCTGCCCATTTGCTCAATTTTCTAGGCTGCAACCAAGCTTTCTATCTGTGGTAAGTATGCTGCTTTATGTGTCTATCTGACAGGAATGTATTGAAACTATTAACTGCATGAAATTGCCATATGAAGCTTTACTTTTAATCACTAATCTTGCATTTCTGGAGCAGATGAAACAAAAAACCCCACCATGCCTACTGAGCTATGAAAATATGCTAATTATTTGGCATCAAATTTTGCTCCAATAGGATCAGTTTAAAGGTTATGAAGATTACTGATTTCAGTGGCACTCATATCAAACCTCTGTAGCCTACACAGACCTATCAAGCCTGAACAAAAGCCTTTATTTAAACAGTGTGGAATAAAACTATGCCTTAGGAGTTCATTACTGAATGTGTGTGTGTGGCTAGTGTCTTTACTGCAAACTCTAATTTGGTATGTTACCTTCTACTGTATTAAATCAGTATAAATCCACACATGGAACAAAAGCACAGCAACCAACAGATGCAAGGCTTTGTTCTCACTTCTTTTGAACAATAACAGTTATTCACACTGAAAAAGATTTCATAAAGAGCAAGGAGTAATAATCCCATTCCTATTATCCTGGGTCCATAAAAAAATACAAGGTATGTGTTTCTAAGAATCAGCTGTTAAAACATCTCACTTCAGCAATCAGTACTTTTGGTTTTGAGTAGCAATAAATCTATTTCAGTATTTCTGCTTTTGATTCTGATTGTTTGCATCATACAGTTGACTCCTGGTAGCTTTTCAACCAGAGGTTGTAAAATCTCAATACTCATTTTTAATTACTGCTACAGCCTTATTGTTTGCAGACCTTTACTTCCTTTAACACATACAAATGGTCAACTATTAAAAAAATTATAATATGTAGCTCTAATTACTAAACTATAGCTGTGTGTTCACCGGTTTATTCCTTCCCATTATCTAAACTTAAGCAGCTACATTTCTGTGAAATGACTTGTGATTTGTCTTTAAACAGACTTTTACATAGTTCTTTAAAGGAACTAGCAATCATACAATCCCTGCTATTCTGGCAACAAGAAGAAGAGTTTTTTCATTTCTCCTTTTAGCTACTGGATTTGAAAGAACAAAGCAGAAATTGAACAGATTTTAGTAAAATCTGCACAAAAAGCCAACTGAACTGAATAGTTTTCTTCCAATAAAGTCCTTGAAAGGTCACTTGAGATATAAATTAAGACGTAAAGTGTAATCTGAGGCTACAATACAACCAGAAAAATCTCTATTACACTGTGATAATGCGTAAAATAATCTTGACACTTTAAACATGAAATGAGGTTTAAGAAGCTGAAGGTAAGAATGGGAAGTGAACAGTGTCATTTCTGATGATCACGTTTTAAACCAGATGTTTCTCTTTCTTCTGCTATATAATATTACTTCTGCTCAAGTAACTTTATATCTTGATCACACTCTTCTCTCTCTCCATTTATGCACTCACATAGAAACTAAAATTTTTAGGTAACATGGATTCAAGAAAGTAAAAAAGGAGCTGGCAAGAAAATTAGACAACACAGACAAAGTTTGCTTTCTTCACTACTCACTACATTTCTAGCTTTTTCAGATTTCATGTTCTTACATCCTCCCCCATCATTTCTATTCAACTAACATCTGTTGTTAAAAAAAGCAAATTGATAATGAGTCCAGGCATATTTTACTTAACATAATAAAACTTCCTAACATTACGAAATGCAAAATCACAACATCAAAATCAGAAGCACAAATAAAATATTTTTACAACACTGTCTTTTACCTTTAGCACAGAGGTCATGAATACTGACAGCCCCATCAGCACAAAAATCATCAGTCCTGTCACTCGCTGCTCCCGGATTCCCAAAAACTTTGGTTGTTCCCCTGGTGCTGAGCATTCAGATTCAACTTTCAGGCTGTTAACATGACTTATTGACAGGACAGTTGCAGCAACAAACCATGGTAAGCCCATGAGGGAACATATCCCCAACATGATACCAACCATGAGCAGATCAAGATGATAACCACAGCCTTTCTGTAAATTAAGCAAACAAATAACTTGATAAACTTTCTATTTACATGATACCATATTTCTAGCTCAGCTGGTAAATAACAAGTAACTGCAAAAGTTAGATAGTTTGAACATGTCCACAAAATGGTATTTGTTCTTTATTAGTCAATTTATACATGTACTTAGTAGCTGTTGGTATTGTTTCATAAATTTGCAGAATTAATCTGATTTAAAATAAACTTGACTTACACAACATTAGGTTTTTGTTAAAGTGGCTGTTACCTTCAGTTTATGCTCTTTCCTGTTTATAATAACAGCTGTTATTTGTTGATCCATGAAAATTAGAATGGTACACAGTAAAGCAGGAACAGCAGCTATCAAAAGTGTCCACCAAGGATTGCTTCCAAGAGGATCTATGAACCATCCTCGGTCTTTTCGGGTAGGCTGAAGGGAAAAAAAAAAAAAAAAAAAAAAATCAAGAAATTAACGATAAGAATTAAATGACTAAAACAGTAGACATTTTATTGCTGTAAACAGCTTCAATGAACAACAGATTACCCTTTTAAATAAGCATTTAGATTTTTCTCCCAAAGGCTTTGACCAAAAGACTGATTTAGCTGCTACAAGTGAACATGATATTTATATGGGAAAAATTAAAATAAAACCATTCAATTCCTTTATTTTTGTACATTTGCATTGAAAAATATGTCCTTTTCAGTTATAATATAAAGCACAGTCTCTTCTGTCAGATAAGACATACATCCAAAATAGAATGAAAGAGATTACTTCATCAAAAGTGAAATTTCTGTTTCTATATAACTCCATTATTCTACTCTCTATAAAACTGCAAGCATTAAATAGTTTTTTCAAAAGATTTTATTTCTTACTTCAAATTTCTCTGGAACAAGAAGCTTAGGAGAAGGTACTCCCACAAGATAGTCAATCAAAACCATGATTACGATGGTCAGAAATACTGCAAAGTCACTGATGGTAGAACGTACCTATAAAGAGAAGACTTGTGTTAAATCCTGCTTTTTCATCATTATAACGGTCTTTTCCAACCCAGTTGATTCTATGCTAATTTGCATGTATACAAAGGCAATTTTCTCCCCCATGAAAAGTGAAGTCTATATATATTATACTACACCATTGAACATTATGTATTTTTTCCTCTTTATAAGTTAAAATTTAAGCTGCCTGCCACTTAAGTATTCTGTACAACTGTTCATCTGATTATCTCACTGAAAGTCTTCTGGTGCAAGAAGCAAACTCCTTAATAGTAACTCCTTCCTCACCTTTCTGTCCCCTCAACCCTACTAGGAGGCTGGGCCATCACAGCTAGTCTCTTGTAGCTCAAGTTAGTAACATCACTGAACCATTCTGACATCAATATTTGTACATTTGATGTTTTAAATTGACAGGAGGCAGATAATTTCCAAGATTCAGGTTAACAAAGATAACTTTATCAAACATCAGGAACACACCAAACGGGTAAGCTGAGGTTTACAGCAGATCTAAACACTTCATTTCGGCCAGCAGAAGTTGTCTAGATCAGTCCAAGAATATTAGTCTCTATTAAAAATAGTAATTCCCTAAAGAACCACTCAGAACATTTCATACAATCATCAGTATTATCTCTCCAAATGATACCTGGCAATACCTGTTAATATGTGGAGATGGACTGCTTAGGTCTTCTAATATTAAAATATCTTGTTATAGCTATAGGAAAGTACAGAGTAAGTGCCAAATTTTCTGCAGTTGATTTCTTTCCTCTAACATCTTCATTTTTGCAATTATTAGCTAATTTGGGGGTTTAATTTCCTTTCCTGTCTTAAATGAAATCTCTCAATGCAAAATTCAACTCCATTAAGTTATGCTAACTTATTTATCACATGAAAACAAAAGTCTCTATTCAAAATTACCTTAGTTGGGAAATAGCGTTTGGTCTTGAATTGCTTAAGGAAAGAGGAGAGGAAAAATGTTGTAAAGAATAGTATGACAGACCAGAAGAGAACATCTGGAATATATGGTCCATGATGGCCACAAGCTGATCCACGAAACACACCATGAAATTCTAAACATTCCTGCAAAAAGAAAAGCTCTTTAAATTTTTATGTTTTATTCATTTAGTACATTCAAACTAGCTTGCAGCTTTTCAATATAAAGCATATTTGAAAACTTTCACAATCCCAAAAAAGGGGTTCTTTACTTCATCACTACCTTAACCCTAAAATGCCAAAAAGGTGTGCTGTCTATTCCAGGAAAGACATAGTAGCCACCACTGATTATTTCAGGATGCCCAAGAAGAAACAATTCTGCACATTCACATCACTTCTATTTTTCAAAGCATCACAAGATTGAATGCACAAATAAAGGCTGAGGACAAAGCTCAGGAAAAGCAGAATGACCAACATTAACTTTCAAGCTAATGAACACAGAAAAGGATCTCCTCAATTTCTCCCACCTCTTTATTGTTGATTTATTTTGTTCTGATACAGTTGAGGGGAAAAAAGACAGACTCTTAGAAAATAAGATTAACTCAGCTGCAAGAAAAAAGTTTCTAGTAACGTAGAAAAGCATCATAAATAATGGATTTGAATAAAAAATAAAATTAAGTCAGATGATCCCTACCTAAAAGGCTTACTGAAACACAAAGCAAAAAGTTGAAGTAGACACATGGAGTACAAGGACACAACAAGCCAAAAAAATCAAATAGTTGGAAGCGGCACTGCCGCAACAGTCTTTAAACAGGTTTGTTTATTGAAAATTTGACTTATGACAAAAATTATCCCTGTTAACAATCTACTTTGATTATAAGCACCACCAGATCATGGATCGGTTCTATCTCTTGGGGAAGACTAAAGATGCTTAAGAGAATGAAAAGGTATATAAAATAAATAATCAATATAAAGTAAATCCACAAACTCAGTTCAAGAGAAACTGTCATACTAAGTGATAATGGTAAACCAGGAGCCATTGGTGGTAAATAGAAAAAACTACTGCTAAAACTCATGTAAAGCACTGAGGTTTTTCACAGTATTTTTGCTGTGCAAAACATCTACTTAAAGTGTGAATTTCTAGGCTTAGACACGAGAGCCCATACTCAATTACTGACACTTCAGAAAGACAACTGAGCTGCCTTCCAGGATTAAAGTGTCTACCTTAAGCAGACATTTATATTATTGTCCTGGACTCACTCACCTATACCTCTACAATTACTATTTAAAGCATTATGAATGGAATAAGAGAGTTCAAAAATACAGTCTTAAGGAAAACGGTCCAGGTTCAAATAAAAAAGGAAACAGATGAAAAATACTAATCAAAACTGGTACTGTGTGGGTATTTATTTTTTGTACATATATACACAGATATATATATATATTTAGCTTTCAGATACTCACAGAAACTGTAAGGTTACTCCATGCTATATCTTCCACAGACTTATTCATACTCCTCCACACATCCAATGTTTCATTGCTTGGTTTCTCAGGCTCAGCACACACACATCTGAAGGGAAAGAAAAATATTTACCTGCTTTTAAGACCCATGCACCAAAATGCAGCAATTTGGAGTAAACTCAAAAATCCCTAAGAGTTTAAACCAGAGTTTATCCCAACTTTCTATGAAGGAAGCAGAGTACAAGGCTCCTCCTTATACTACATGAACTAGGATTATTGGGGCAATGGGAGAAATGAAGAATCAGAGGCAACTGCTGAGGAGGATTAACAGACGGTACGAAAAAACCTCCAAACTATATATTTAAAAGAATGATAAGCAGGTAAGATATTGACCTAATTATTTGACTGATCTGCCAGTTTTTAAATAGAATGGCACCTGAAAATAAAGTTAAATATATAACATATGTGGGTTTCTACATATTGCAACATATGAAGATAAAGATCCAAATGACATCACATTCCAACAACCCTATACTAACAAATATTGTGTTATTTCTAAATTATTTTACAAACTTTGCACAACTAGTTTTCTATGACTGTGTACAAATTAAGGTTTTTAGACTTCTATACAGCATAACATCCCACAATGAGTCAAACTTCAGCTAGTCTTACTGCACACCAACATAAAAGAAAAGAATACAGAGATGTTGAAACCATTTCATTTAAAGAACTGGTGTAAATGGCAAAGTTTCAACAACTCCTATTCAAACCAGACATGTCATTAGCATCTAGAAGTTTGAGTCTTTCATCTTTTCTAAAATTCTAGTAGTTAGCCATTAGTCTTGCATTTCACATGCCTTCTGACCTACACATGACCAAAACTGGCCATCCTGAAGTAAGACCCATTTTTGAGTATGTAGTGAGCTAACTGATACATACACTGCTCAGGTTTAAAGCAACAACATTTATGCACTTTTAGTAATGCTTTTGTGCAAGTAAAAGTGCCCTTTCCCCACTGCAGTGGTTTGTAAACTTAGGCTGCAGAATGCTTTCTGTCAGACAGGCTGAGATTAAAAAAACCAAAACCAACAAAACCCTAAACCAAAACAGAATGAATATTGATTTAATGGGATGTTTTCACATAGAGATGTTTGAGCATACCAAATGGCAAGCTTAACATGGAAACATTTATTTAGAAGGGAAAAAGGTAATAAGCAAGAAAAAAGTCTCCTTTTTCTATGAGGTTCATCAAGATACTGAAAGAAACCCAAAGAACCCTGGAAGGGCAAATTTGCATCCTGATAGTGTAAAAGTAAAGAAGGAAAAAAAACACTAAAAGTGTATGAACAAAAAACCCTAGATTTGCAAGCAACAATGTTTGAGGAACTTAAAAAATACTAAGTAAGCATATTTTCTTTTGTTAACTGAATCCTAAAGTAACAGAAAACAGAAATAGGAGAGGACTGAAAACTAGCAATTTCTACAATGTAGTTGCAAACACAGAATCATCAGAGGAGAAAGGAATTGCAACAGTAAGCATGAAGGCATCTTTAGCTGTTGGTCAAGGCAGTAACATGAACCAGCATGCTGAAGGAAGATGACACGACCAATTTCTCAACAAATGCAATGAAGATAAAGGATGCCATCAAGTAGATATATGAAAAACCAGAAAGAGAAAGAAAAAAACTCAGAAAATGTAAGAGCATTTAAGGCTGTCCTGTGACTGAGCTGAACACGCCTGTTCCACACTCTCTTCACCACTGTGAGTACAGTGGGGGGAAAAAGGTGAAAAAGAACAATTGTAAAAGGCTGACTCTCCTACAGCTTTGTGATAGAAAAATTTATGACAAACCAAAGCTGAACACCATGGCATGTCCTGAAAGATACATGTGACACCTCACAGAACTAAACCAAAGAAAAATCACACTTTATTCTCTCCACTCTCATGGCCTGCCTGTGGCAAATCAGGTGGCAAGGGTCAGAGGACCTACAGACCTACAGTACAGTTTCTGCCAGCTTAGTGAATTTAACATGCACACACAGGAGTCCAGTGAGGTCCCAGAGCCACTTATACAGAAGGATGAGCAGCCAGTAGAAAGGGGAAAATTGGGAAGTGAGCATAATCCCATGGTCTACTCCTGGCAATGTGGCCTGGTCTTAACAGCTAGCAGGACAGGAAAGCAATTGTAAATGTCATGTGTGAACAGAATACAAGAAGCAGTCTGAGAGGCTGTTTGCCCTTTCATCCTGAAAAAAAATGTACTAAAGCAGCATGAATGTTTGTAAAAGTGAGGAGAGACCCTGGAGTGCAAATACAAGAATCAGAACTTGGCTTGGCACTGCCAGAAGCCACCCTGTGTTCAAGATGTTCTCTGCCTCGGCCAGGCAGAGCAGTTATCCAGGGGAATGGTGAGTACTCTGCCTTCCAGCCAGGGACTGACTGCAGGATACAGCAAGCAGGGACCCTCACAGCAGTTGTACAGACATCACCTTCCCTGGGATTCCCTCACCAACACATGATGTAGCAGACTACAGAGAACACACAGGTACAAATAAAGCTGAAGGATGCACATCTCCAACAGGAGGGAAACACTAGCAGAGAAACCTGCACTCCTCAAAGATGGTGTGTGGCTGTAACCCACATGTCTGGGGCTGGAGGGTAAATATGGGTGCGTGTGTGCAATTAGAACATTTGGGGATCAGCAACAGAAGACAATTTAGAAACGTGTAGGTTCTTACTAGTATATGGGTTCAAACTGAAGGAGGGGAAGTTTAGGTTAGATACTAGAAAAAGGTTTTTCAATATAAGGGTGATGAGACATTGGAACAGGTTGTTCGGGGAAGTGGTGGCTGCCCCAACACTAGCGGTGTTCAAGACCAGGCTGGATGAGGCCTTGACCAACCTGATCTAGTGAGGAGGTGTCCCTGCCCATGGCAGGGGGGTTGGGACTAGATTATCTGTAAGGTCCACTCCAACCCCTAAATTCTATAATTCTATTTCTTAAGTGTCTCACACTGTGGTTTCTCTGCCATATTACTGATACTGATCCTCAATGTATGGATCACTGATTGGCAGTTAATTGTGTGTTGTTGATCAAACAACAGCTTCGCTTTTGCTCTCATTTAAACTATGTGAAATGAGCAGTTTCTCTCAGCAACAGTGAGTGGGATCTCCTCTTCTGGCAGCACGAGCTGGTAACCCAGTTCATCCTATTTCATGAAACTACAGCATAAATTTGGATTTTTAGAAGTAGCAAAGCAGAACTCCTGCTCTGACCTTCAATGAGGCTGCAGTTAAAGCAGGCTTTGTCACAGCCCCTCATCCCTTCCAACCACCCATAGCTAACACAGAAAATTCAATTCCAAAGCATCCTGAATAGGATTTTTCTGAGGTTTCTCACGCCCATACCACCTCCAGCATTCCTCCGACCCTTCCTAGAAGAGGCACACACTGCCATTCAGTAAACAGTATGTCTCTATACTATAAACATTTTCTCTATTTATTTGACTAACAGATAGAAATTTGGTACTTACGAATATAAAGTCAGTTTATTCAAATCATTGTGCATATTGAAGGCATACACTTCTCCCAAATGAAAAAGCTTTTCCAATGCCTCATAAATAAATATGATGCATATAAGCGCTGCAAAAGCTTCCTCGGTAAATCGAGTGATGTAACACACAAGGCTGCTGGCATCTGTGGCTACAAGTACAATGCATAAAAATGCAGTCCACAGACCTATGCTAGTTCGCAGGGAGAGGTAGGAAAGATCATAATCCCTGTGTGAAGAAAGAAACAAAAAGTATTAACTGAGCCAAAAATCACCTATAAGCTGTTATATTTGAAAACAGATACTGAAGCCAAGCTCTATAGATATTTATCATTTTTCTCATCCTTGATGTTACTTCTAAATGAAGCAGAAACTTTTTTGTCTCATCTTCCTCCAAAGCAAAGCAAAGGTATTTCCAGGATTGACAATGCAACTACCTACCTTGGGAAGCATCATGGGGATGATCTTTTCATAACTACCCAGATGCTTTCCCCTAGAGGGCAGATCAGTCCCTGCTTACCTACCCCTACAAAACCAAAGCCAAGATCTCCACACAGACAGAATATAACTTTTATTTAAGTCCTAGTCACTTCTTACCACTGATTTTCTCATTAAGGTTCACCAGTGCCTCACAGTTTTATCAAACCACATCAATTTCTCAGTCTCTTGCTGCTGCATTTACCTTGATGGACATATACATCTAATGTACATCTGCTATCAATTACAGCTGTTCTAACAAGTGCATCAGACTAATAAACATCACTTACCTGCAAAACTTAAATAATATTTTTTCAAATACTAGAACTGGTCCGGTGCTTCCCAAGATAGTAAGAGGTTGCCCAGCAAAGAGAGAATAGGCAATCCCAGTTAATGAGGCTCCAAAGAGAGACTCTATTGCACTCTGTTTGGGGGAAAAGAAATTGCTATTACTCTGCTGCCTTTCAGGTTAGCATTTAGCATCACATCTGCATAAATACTGCTTTAAGATGCATTAAATTAGAAACAAGACAAGATGTAAAAACATTGCAATTAATACTGATGTTTGAGACAAGAACAACTTAACACAGTTTTGCAGCAACAATACCGTGGACAAGATTTTGAGAACTTAATTCCCGAGAAACATAAAACCATCCAAAACCATGAGAACAAGTTACTAGTCCTGCTAGCTACGGAGGAAAAGCATACCAACAATTACACAAATTTTGAAAATAAGAAAAAAAAAAGAAAAAAATGGTTATTCAACATGTATTTTATGGAAAGAATTATCTGTCTCTGTAAAGAAAATAGATCTATATATATTGCAACATACCTGGACCAAAACATGATACGGTGTGCCGTATCAAACCTGTATCAGCCAATCAAGCATTACAAAAGAAAAAAAACTGACAGGTGGAGGTGCAGGGGAAATTACTGAACAGTATTGGCTTATGTATACATGACACCAAAAATAGATGAGCAGTAAACCAATGTCCCACCTGGTAATGCATTTCTTTTCACTGAATTAAGATATCTACTTCAGTTCCTGAATTTGGCATTTTAGTATAACATTTTCTTCTGAAAACAAACAGTTACAATGCACCTCTACAGGGAGGGGCAGGAATGTTAAATACCAAAATTATATTAAAGTTACTTGAACATGTTAATCTACACCATTTACCTGTATGAGAAGTCATGGATTACAGATTCCTGTAATGGAATTACAGGGTTTCTGATGGATTTCAAGGGTTTCAAGTGTTCGCTATTTTGCAATTATGCAAGCCTAAAAAAATAGTGTTTATGCAAACTTAAGCTCCAATTCAGGAAAGCATCTGAAAATGGTCAAAATGGTTTACTGAACTGGAGCTATTAAAAATGAAAATGAGTCCTTTGTTCATTACATAAGAAAAAAAACATAATCCCAGACTCTTGTTCTATCACCTTTGAATTAGTGCTTTTGGTTAGTGAATGCATTAACCTTGGGGCTCTCAGTCAGGGTGGGAAGGACAGGAGTACTGTGATGACCTCTGAGAATGCGAGGGAAGGTTTCAAAAACAAACTGTGTACCTTACAGTGTCAGCTACTGTGCTTGAACATATGTGTGCAGTAACTAAATGTTTTATTCAATGATGCACACCAAGTATCTGAAGGCAGGGAGAAACCCGCAAACAATTCCAGATAGCTAAAAGAAAGAAGGTGTTTAAGAATCAAGCTTTAAAAGGAGTGTATTTTCATAATTATACATGCTGCATATTCAAAATTTACGCTGACATTTTGATAACCATTTACAGTGGCAAAACCAGCACACAGAAAAGACATAATTTATGTATTTTCTATCAGCTTGAAGTGCTACATCAATAAACAAAAATCTGAGTCAACAGCAATACTTGAAAGAGACAAAATAGTTAACTAAATTTTAATATAGTACAAGCTTAAAAACTTCATCTAAGTATCAAGAAGAATTTTATAACATTTTAAACTTTACCAGAATCTTAAAATTTGTAAAGGACACATCTGAATACATCCTTCCCTCCCCCAAAAGGACAGAGCCTTGTTTCTTTGTGGTAGATTTAGAAACAGAAAATACACTTCCAATCAGTTTACTCATAAGCCAATTGACACAAACATTAAGTTATTAACATTGTTGATATTAAGCATTTTTCCCCTCCTCCAAAAACTAAAGTGCAACGATATTTTGGTGAAAAAGGTGCTGCTATTATCTACTGCTCAACATAATACTTTATATTCCAGCCATTTACAATGAAGAGTATTTTCTGCTCATAAACCTTAGGCACTTTATTTTACTGTGAACCATTAGTGCAAGCATACGTGTATCCTGTCCGTTACAAAAGCAATAGACTGCTAGCCATACACTGCAGGCATTATCATCCTTGTAGGCCTACTACTCAAGGCCAGTACATGTTCTTGGCTATCCACCTTGAGCCTCTGACTTTGCCTAAAGTAGGCCTAGTGGGATGGTGCACCTTTACTACTATTCATTATTCTTAAGTAGCCAAAAAGAAGGCAATGCAAGCCTTTTCTCAATTCATGAAGCCATTCATCCAACAAGGCAGGATAAACATTTTTTTACCTCCACTGTGCATCTTCTCCTGTTCACATGGGTTCCCCACATTTTCCACAGCAATTACCTTTTGGGGAAGATCTGCTTTGGGGCAGGCTAATCAAGTGCTGTGGGTAAATTCTTCAAATACAAGTATAAATAAATGAGACAAATGCACACAGTGACTTGCCTCTGAAGATCTAAAAAGCCTGGCCACTACCATTCTTTGTACTCACTATTCTGCCTTGTGTAGCTTCTCCCAGGAGCCCTCCAAAAGTGATTACAGGAGACATACAGGCACAGTATAGGAAAAGAATCGAGGCCAGGCACTGCAGGCTTAATGCATCCTTGAAGTCACTCAAGAAAAAAGGTGCTTTCCTTTGGATGTCAAGTATCAAACCACCAAAAAGCCTAAATAGGTGAGATGAAACTCGTCAAACTGTACACTAAAGGATTCTAGCTAGTTCAAAACTATGGGCTACACATGACTGCCAGTGCCTATTGCCGGCACAAATTAGCTATTTCATAATCCAGATTAAAGCATAACAGTTAACAATGTAAACGAGAATCATATCTATTCCATTCCAGCAGTATTCCAAATATAATCAAGCAGGTTACCCACATTTTTACAAGCTTGCTAGGTATTTTTGTATATGGGCTAGATACTGAAAAAATAACTTTGCAAACGATTTTACCTAAATGATGCTTTAAGTCAAATCTGTCTTATGATATTGAAAACAAGGAACAGAAGAAATATGCTAAACCTCAATCAAGACCACTGCACTGACACATTTCAATACTACTACTCCAGTAAGTAGTCAGAGCTTTTTGATTCAAATTCTCTATATACACATGATTAGGTGCATAAATAAATTTATGTCTATCATTTTTAACAGTTTTCTCATCTGGAGTACAGAGATATTCTACAAATGTAAATACAAAACCAAACACATAAGGCAGTTGAACTGGGTAAGTTATTTGCAACGAATTAAAAAGCTTTTGGCAATTCAAAAAAAAAACCACTTTAGGATTCCAAAATACTAAGTATTAATTTGCACTTACAAAAAATTTATTATATTTTTAATTATTAAAAAAACCCCAAACCATTCCTAAGAATAGCCTCAGCCAGAGATAATTCCGTGGGCAGAAATTAAATTCTCAGCTCCACATACTGTCTACAAAAAAGAAAAGATTAAGTATAACAAAGACACAATGGTAAAAATCAACACGAATTTTGTAAAGTCTTTCTTGCAAATGTATGAGAAGTTTATTATCCTGGAGATAACAACGCTCTACACATATTGCAGAATTTCTCAATTGATTTAATCTCTACTCTCATTTGAGATATTCAAGTTTAATCTTAATCAGGCATTTCCAACGCTGGGGGCTTCTTTGGCAAGTATTTCAGAATTACTAGAGAACAACATCTAGAAGAAATTCCTTAAATTCTATTTTACAAGACAACTGACCAAGACCCAAAGCTAACCAATACCAAAGTATTTTTTCACCACCTTATATTTCTTGTTGTTCCATTTCACACGTTTAATAAAACAGATTTGCATTAATGGAGATTTTTAGTACCTAGCCCAATACTCAAAATTGCATATTTCTGCTGTAGTTATGGTAATTGCATGCTCTTGACAATTAAAATTTAAAACACAACTCTTAAAAAGTCAGTTAGTTAAATTAGGCAGCATCTTATGTGAAATCCTTCACAAATGTGTTGAGAAACATTGCCACAGATTGGCATTTAATGGCAAGAATCCAACACTTGAAAAGGACAAAGGATGCGCTCTAAGACTTGTACCATGATTTATTATTTTTTTTTTACATTCGAGCGTCAATCATTAAGATGAAGATTTATCATTTTTGTTTCTTTATGGTGACTAGCATTTAGGGAAGTGAACACACCTTCCAGTTCTCTGAAGTTCAGGTCCAGCATGATGGGCTTCTTCTTTGAGACTCTCTCCTGTAGGAGTAGTTCCATTTGGAAATTTAGGTACCTTCCTTTTCTCCTACAGAAAAAGACGCCAAAAAAAGACGCACTTGGAGACAATTATATTTTTCAGTGTATGCAGAGACTCTATGCCTTCCAAACCTTGCTTATCAGCAATCCTCTGTTTGCCAAATTTGTCTTCAGCTGAGTACAGACGTCTAGAACTCTATACCACTCCCCAAAAAGACCTTACTAGTATTATTACCTTGCACAACACTATTAATCTTCCCTCTTTCTACAAGAAATAGGTTCCCGAAACATGATGAAACGAAGCCTAGCTTTGCAAGACACAGCAAAGGCTCAACCACGATGACCAGAAATCTTTAGATGCTTTTTCTCAACCATTTCCAGAGCAGGAACATCTAACAGAACTGACCTCACTTTATGACACACATACTATTTAACTAAAGTATAATTGAGAAGTCATACCACTGCTGAGCAAGCTGCTGACCACCTCCTCATAAATGTCTCAGCTGAGCCTGCCTTCCAAAAACCCCCAAGCACTGCTTATTTTGGAAAAAAGTTATGCAGTACCCTCAGGCTATTCATGAATAAACTGCACTGCTGTCACCCCCCTCTATTGCACCACTCCACCAAACATTCACTGGACTTAACACCAAAGTCAACCTTCTGAACCAACAGCACTGGTCTCTCCCTGGCCTTTGATCCTGGTGGCCCAAATTCCCTTAAGTTGTAAAGAGGGAGGAAGGAAAGAACGAGTCTCTGTAAGGACCGACTTTTCCTGGCTCCCATTCTAAGCCTATATCACCACAACTGAGTGATATGATCGCTGAATAAATAGATTGCAAGAGCGATAGATTTTTATCTATTTCATAAACATTCTGTGAACACTAGTGACAAAATAAATTGGAGCATTTCAATTAATGCCGCATGCAAACAGAAGATTTTACAAGAATTATAATATTCTTGCTGATCACTGCTAGACCAATAGTAAAAATCAGAATATGAACTTAGGTACAATTTCTGAACAATTCTCCTAGATCTCATACGCACTGATCCCAGTATTTCAAAAGGAAATTTAGTAAATAAAATTCATTTAAAAGCACAGCAGAAAACTGATTAACACCTTTTTCCCTCTCCTTTTTTGGCCCCTTATTTTGTTATTATTATTTATTTTTTCTTAAGCAGACAATCCACTTTTTCTTATGAAGTGGATGTGGGGAGTTTCCTGATGTATAGGAGCTGGATCAGAGCCAACAGTGTGCCCAGGTGGCCAAGAAGGCCAACAACATCTTGGCCTATATCAAGAACAGTGTGGCCAGTAGGACTAGAGCAGTCATTGTCCCTTTGTAATAGACTCAAATCCTGTGTTCAGTTTTGGCCCTCCTACTAACAAGACAGACTGGGCTTCTTTTTTTTGCTTTCTTTTACCTGGGAAGGAACACTTTTTGGTGGCTCGATTCGTATAGATGGATCCCACTCTCCTGGAGGCAGGACTGTCACTTGGTCTAAAAATTCATCAATTCCTGACAACAAATCATTTCGGTCTTTTGCTTTATAGGCAACATCATGGAAAACCTGAAAGAAAGTGCTCAACATTCATATTCATTTTAATTTTTCTGAAAGAGTAACTGAGTATCACTATATAATGATTACACTTCATTATTTTTAAAAAGGCATGGAAAATATTTTATAGGTCCTCAAAAGTTAGGCTTTTACTTTATTTGCATACTTTTGCATTAAGAACTACCTGCATGCATACTCCTGTGGACCATAAAACAAGGAAGTTTTATGTTCAAATTCAAAAGGAATACTGAGTTCATTTCTAAAATTAAATAAAAAACTAATCTACAATATTCAGTACGTCAAATTTATGCACTATTGCATAATGAACTGCTTGTCTCCAAAGACCTGACCATTAAATCTAATTATAAATTAGATCTTTTAAGACTATTTAGCCCTTTTTAGGCCAGAGAATAATTTGTATTTTTCTATTTCAATGATGTACAGTATTTCTAAAAGTCAAATCAGCCTATGTAAAATGAATCATAAGCTGCAACTAAAGCTTTTAATATTCAGTTCTTGCACAGAACAAAAACTTCATTTACAGAATAGTTACCCAGTTGCAAAACGACAAATTTCTGGTTTACACTTACAAACTTCAAACTGCTCTAGAGCAAGAAGTACTTGAATTTCTGCTAGATGATCCTAAAAAATATAGCAATTCAGTAGGTGGCGCTCGATGTGAAGTCAAAATTAAAACATTCTAATTTTGCTCAGTGAGATGGCAACAGTCTTAAAAAGTCCCAATTCCCCTGTGGTCTTTAAAACCAATAGGGCTCTAAGCAGATGACTTGAACTGGTTAGAAAAATCCTAACGCTCATTATCTGACCTTGCTTAGATTAAAAAAATATATCTGTGATGACTCAATCGCACGCATTCTTAAAGCTTCCTGTCCTGAAGACTTACGCAGTTTGCTGTGTCCTTTTTGACACTCAGTGACTCATATCAAATGCAGTTCTATTTAATAGTTCTGTTAACCAATTTAACACAAAAAAGAAATCTATACACCAAAGGCAAAATAATTTTTTCAGAAATACATTTACGGTTTCTTCAAGATAGACTACAGGCAAAGTTAATTTACCATTATGTAATCCACTAACAAAAAATAATTAAGTTTACAGGTCTTCATTTAACGAGTTCATAGGGGTTTTTTTAACCTGTCACTCCAGAATCATTGAAATCAGTTGGTAAATACATTAATCTTGACTTTAACTACAAGCATTTAAAATACATCACTCACATCATCTGTCATAAGTGTTGCTATTGATCTTCCGATTTCATGATACTGTGGAGCTTTTCCTGCTGGTCCCAGCAACAAGAACAAAAACCTGTGGAGAAAGCACTCGAGATAAATACAGTTGACTCATTTGCATGTACTCAGGGAGGTCTTTCAAACTAATGTTTAAAGAAAATTTAGTGGCAAAATAAAAATATCATTTCCAGCATTTCAGATCTTAATGACTGCTACAACACTGTGAAAAGACTCATTGCAAAGTCATTACTGGACAGAACTCAAATCCTGAACCAAAATTACTCCAGAATCTTCTTAATTTAAGACTAATTTTTCAACTTCTTATAATGCCTTAATGTAGCAAGAATCCACAGGCTAGAGCTCACTGAGTATTTCCTCTGCATGCTAAGCCTTTCTGACATTCCCAATAGCAAAGACTCTTTAAGTGACATCCTGTTCTAGACCCTGTGATGATCACCTTTTCACAGGAGTTATATCCCCCTCACTTACTGTGACTGGGTATTACACACAGAGGATGCACATATATAATTTATGTAACACACTGGTCATACTCATATAGCCATATCCTGGTCCTGTGTCAGTGGAAAGGAAGGGAACCTGCATTTCTGAACACCTAAAAATGTAAGAGTGACATTTTGGAAAGGGAATCCAATCTGGGGGTGAAGTCACAGCGTATGTTAACAGACAGTTTCACTTTCCAACCACAGTAAGGTATGACAATTTTGGGGTTTTTCTAATTAAAAAAACAAACCAAAAACCCCCACCAAAACCTTGAACAGGATGAGCATCTTACAAATTCAAAAAGGATACAAACCAAGGAGTGAACCTCCATAACTCATATCATCACCTTCTTCCTATCCTCCATGAAAAGTTCCCAAGCATAACACGTGAAAAAAGTAGTGCCTTTGTTCATCTCACACTACAGAAAAATCTCAAGTTTGTGTCTTTTGCAAGTTTATTACTTTGACTGAAACTGAGAGTACATCTTCAGAATCCAAGTATGCTATTGCAAATTTGCAAGTCTACACCATTCCAGAAAAACTTAGGACAGAATAATTTTACCTACATGAACACAATCATCTGTATGTGGAATTTCCCAAAGGGCATTATGAGCACTAATGTCAACTACCCTCTGAAAATTCTCACATATATTTATTTTTGCCTTTCAAAATAGCATGTAAGCTGAAAATTACAAAGGCAAGCAAACACTTTGATAATTTTTAAACATTAAAAAAACAAAAAAAAAAAAAGTACAAATTTATGCCAAACACCACAGAATAGCCCAATACATCAATGTGCACAGAAAATGAAGCGTCCTCTAATGACGACTGATGAAATGAACTGCTATCTTCATCATGGAACCTGCAGTTTGACATTTTGATCATCTCTGCTAAATATACCCACAGTATACTGGTGAGCCCCACGATTCTGGGTGCATCAGACTGGATGGCATATTACAGACTGAAAACTACTTCAGTGTATTAGCTGCAGATTAGTTATTCCACTGTCAATCATGTAGATTTGGGCATTATAAATAAAAGGTTTTCCACCACCTAGGTTATTCATATACAGAGATTTGGATAGAAAGATCAGAGCTTGCGATCAGACAGACTTTCAGACAGTGGGCTCTTTCCCACTAACAAGCTGTGTCACACTGAAGGAAACTGCAACAATCTTCATGCCCATCTTTAAAATGGCAACCCAAGCTTGGAAGACTCATCGCTTTTACTTCAAGTCGGCCATCAGTTCCAACTTCTGCACTTCCTTAAGACAGCATCATTACATACAGATATGTAAAAGTTTATGGCAGACCTCACTCCTTCAAATTTTGCAGCAAATGACTGACAATGTTAAAACCACCTCTACATTTCTTAAGCATAATAGAGCATATACAAAAATATACAACTATTTGAGATCTTAAATATTATTATCTTACTGCATAAGTAAAGCCAGACTTTCCAGGCATTTATTTACCGTGTAGGAACTGGAACCTCTGTGAGACCTGAGAGAAGCACAGCAGGGGAGAGCCTCACAAAAGCAATAATAGGTCTTTCTAAAAAATCTACTTCTCCCACTAACACATTTGATGCTTCTGCTCCTGAAGGAATTTTCCTCATGAAGTTCATATCAACCTATTCATACAAAGATGAAACAAATGTTTATTCCTTTACATTATTTAGCAGAAATTGTATAACATAATTATGTTTATCAGTATTTACTAGACATTTATGCTACAAATAAAAATTAAAAAGCAAATTAAATATCCCACAGTACAGAAAAGACAAACACATTTAGAAAATGCCAGCCAGCCAAATAATAATAACTATTTTCTATAAGTTAGAATTACTACCACCTAGTATATTCTAGAAAACTGCAAACTGCATAATCACCCTTCTAATATTATCATGACAAACATTCTGTGATAGGACATAAATTAACAAAATCAATGCACAATTAACTAAGGAGAGTTCATGTAATTACACATGGTTTCTAGAATGTAATGAGTTATTTCACATCTGTGGATTTCAAATACGTCATGATTTTGAAAAATAATTTGTACGTTTGTTTTTATTCATAAAGAATATGACAGCTGAAAATCTTAACATCCATTTCTGTAGATAATTACAGAAGTGCATTAGAAAAATGGTACAGCACATGAACTCTGTGTTCACATATACACACACACACAAGCACCAGTTACATTACTAGCTAGAGAACTTACAGATGGCCTCTTGAGTCCCACACCAAGTGTGCCACAACTACAGTGCCAGGAGGCTGACTCCTGCCCAACAGGAGACAAGGCAGGTGTACAGAAGGACAGGCCAAGCAAAAATATACAAACTGTGACAGAGGAGCAGGAATATAGGGCACCTGCCATGATTAGATCAGAACTACAGTATAAGTTAGCTTCCCTTAAACATGATTACTTAACTTGGCAAACCAATTTTCTTAGTGTTTCACAGTACAGATGACACTACAGACTGAGTTTTATAGTAAAAGCCACAATGGAACTTAAAATTTGCCCAGCAAATTTAAACTATGAAAGAAATACAAGAGAGTTACAGCAGATTTTTTACAAATTTCCTTCAGTAAGTGATATTATATGTTCCTAATGATTATGATGTACAATAACTTTTGTACAGGGAACTCAAAACGCATATAAAGCAAATTCTCTTTAAAACCTCTCTTTATCAAAAAAAGCCCAACAAAACCAACCAACAGAAAGTCAGTCATAGAAAAAAAAAAATGTTACAACACAGTCTACAAAACTGTTTTCATAAGAGCCTTAATAGCAGATCTGAAAATATCTCCATCTGCACGAGAAAGTACAGTGACTGCACTCTTATGTTACCAAAATACAGAGAAGATGATCAAACACTAAGTTCCACCACACTGGAAAAAATTTCAAAACATGTGACACATTTAGCCTAGACCAGTTTCTGACACTCATATGCAAAAGTTATCTCTTAGTACCTATGTCTTTTGTACACTCATACAAGTCTTAGTTGCAACTCAGGGGGAAATTACAACTATTATATTTTTTGCTACATAGTTCTTTTGTGCTAAACATTAAGGTATTTAATGTTACTTACCTTACTAAAATCAACTGTGCTGTTTTCTCTGCTTCCTCCTGTTCCAGAACCTTTAGCATCTCCACTTTTCCCATTGTCTAAATTTCCAGGTGCTGACTGTGGAGATGCTAATAGCCCTAAATAAAAAAAAAGGAGGAAATAAGTTCAAAATGGTGTATGAAGTAATGTGAGTGTGCAACACTACCAAAAATCAATGTGGCAGCTTGTTTAAAGCAGATGTGCAAGTTATTCAGTAAAAGTGCCCTACATTAGTATCATAAATGCAACATTAACAAGTCATGGTGTTGTCAAAACAATGACATAATGAAAACAATTAAGTATTGCCCAAATGATGGCCATTTGCAGAACAGTCACCAGAAAATATGAGCTACTTTAATTGCAAAAAAAATAACTGCTGACATTTTAATCATAGTCGAGTTAGTAGTTAGTATACAGCATCTTCACCATACTAAGAAGTCCTTGGACACCAAAAGCAAACACCTCTGCTAGCTGGTCTGTTATTGCAATTACAAAACGCATCAGCAAGCCTCAGGCTACAACTACAAGGAATGACACCCCAATAGTTAACTAAGCTACACAAGTAAATAGTACACTGTATGAAGGGTAGACAGCTTGCAAACCATGGTTTCAATGAACAAATCAAAGCTCAGACTACTCATCTGACCAGATGTTACGATATCGAATACACACTTTAGCTGAGGAGGCATGTACAATAACATTATTCAAGTTCAACACACAGCTTCCCTCTAACACCTGCACCAAATCAAAACGGTGTTAAGTAGTTTGCTATACTGCCAGCAGCACTAAATTGCAGGCTCAGTAAAGGGTGCAAAAGGCAAGAACCTAAGCATTCACACACACTGAATTCCATGTTGCATCATGGCTATCCCTACCCAATTAACATTGAAAAGCTGGTCTAGGCATGCATAACCAAGCCCAAAGCCCATCTTTCAGATTACAGTGCTTTTACTTGTTCAGTTTAACATGCACTAGAAGTGAATTTAGCCTTGCTTCTCTAAGCTAGACCATTTAGCTGTGGTGACAGAACATGCTTTAACATGCTTTCAAAACCACATCTAGGCAAAGACCGAAGTCTAAACATTGTATTACGAGCAGAAAGTTTGCATTTAGGTCAAGCATCTCTAGTCAGGGTAAAAATAAAATCCTCACTGGCTACCTTTGGGCTATTGCTCTATCACAACTACTGCGTAACTACTTTCATACTTCCATATTTATAATTCAGCAATTGTCACATTTTTAGCATTTCAAATGACAACTGAATCCACTTTATTTCATTCCCAAATTTGTTTCCAAAAAACTCTTTCAAAGAGTCACCATTTCAATGGAAAACATGCAGATCCAAGCCTTTACCATTAATTTTCATTCTTACGGTTCATAGGGATATAAGTTGTGTGGGTAGTTTTTCCTGAAGCAAAAATCAAATGAAGTTAATAGGCTATAATTTCCTTTGTGAATCCTAACATGCACAACTAATGAGCTAACACTTTAAATACTATGTTCAGTTAACTAGACAACAAAAAAAACCCCAACAAAATAACACATTCTAACCTTCTGCTCAGAGATGTCTGCGTTATTCACAAGAATAACAGCAACTACCACCTGTGAAATCAGCTGATTAAACTGTTTAGGAGTTGATGTTAAGATATGTCTGCAGGACTAGAAACAAATATTAAACAGCTGTTGCAGAAGAGCAGCACAATATAAACATTTATATAAACTTTTTCACTTCCCCCTCTCTGCAGTAACACACATAATACAAGATGTGTGTGACTGATGAAAGATGAGCAATAGTGCATTGTTTTGCACTTTTCAGGAATGCACTGTGAGCAAGAGCAAGCAGAGATTACAACCAAAAGTGGAGAAGTTCAAGGAGAAGGACAAAGAACAAGGATTCCACATATTAGCATAAACATTATTTCAGTACTAAAGTGATATTGATTCTTCTAAAATCTCTGCCTTCAAAATCTCTCCAACCAGTCACAGTTAATGCTCACAAGTTTTGACACTCATACAGGAGTATTTGTCTGACCCTAAACCACATGTAAAGGTTTCCTTTCTGCTGGTCTTGCAGTTGGACAGACTGATGCTCTCACAAGGTTTTCAGACCTGAGCAAGCATTTCCACATGATACTGCACTTCATTATGCATATCTATCATCTGATATTTGCAGGGAAACTCTGAATAAAACAAAAAAAAATTATCTTCTCTAATAGTGAAATACTTTTAGTCAAATGTCACACTAATAAAAGAACCTATTTCTTTCTCTTCTCCAGTTCAGGAGATGCAAAGTCAGAGGCTACTGCCAAAAGGACAACTACCTAGTAGTATTTTTCAGACTGTTAGAGAGACAAATTCATCTAGTGCTACCAGCTACTGAGGGGATCATTAAAAACACACTGTACTCTCGTTTATGTTGGTAGTCAGCCAAATATATCACCTGTCTTCTATGAAAGACAACAGTGGATTGAGTCTTGAGCAATTTGGATTAAAACCTCATAAAACCACTCAAGTTAAAGTACTTATTACTACACTTTCACTTGAGAGTGCATTTTCTAGCCAAGTACACTTAATATTGTGATTTGTGAATACAAAAATCTAATCAACATTATCTACTGAAAAAAAAAAGCAAGAAGACATTTGTCTCACATCTCTGCTTCATATAAAAAGATGATCAGGATACAAGTTCAACACCTAAGCATGACTATTCCTATACAATTATGTTTATATAGGCAAAAATTAAGCAATACAAAACTTATAAATAATGAAGTCACACCTTATTTGAATTTTGAGGAAAAAACCCCCAATTTTTAAAACTAAACTCCAATGTAGCTTTAATGTGAAAAAATATTCAAAGCACTCATAGAAAGCAAATATGCAAACATTTCTTAATTACAATTTTCAGTAATTAATTATTACGAGACCAAAGCTGTTCTAAATGTTGTTTTGCTCAGTTTGAAAGTACATTTCTCAGCAAGCCAAAAGACCTCACAGAACAGGCTGCTTTGCTGTTCACAGACATTAAGAAAGCTCAATGATGCTGTTGAATTAACAGTGTTCATTTTCAGCTGTGACAGCTCTCTTCATAGCTTTACCTATGGAATTGATTATTCAATAGTCCAAAGACAGGAAAATAAAAGCCATTCTTCAACTGACATTAAAAACACTGGTAAGAGAACCCTTTGCCTGTTGACTTACTGTGAACTGATGACTGGCTGATGAAAAGTAAGTGGTAGACCAAAGGCGTGTCCCTCTTCCCTCCTTTTACAGTAATTCACATTAAGTTCAGTAACCTTCCAGCTATTTATAAAGACTACAAAGTAAAGTCTGAGTAACACAAGGCCAAGGACAGATGAATGCTAAACAGAAGAAAGCCACCTATTATAAAATTAATGCAGTTTCTACTGTTTACTCAATCATACAGATGTGGAAAATGTAGTCAGAGTGCAATATTCTGAATTACCAAAGAGGTAATACAGTCCATAATCTCAGTGGACTGGACAGGGAAGATATTTTTCTTAATTAATACAAGGAAGATGACTTTCTCATCAGGGTTTCCTTCTGACTGTCTCCCAAGACAGAGATTAGTCCAGTTGCAGCCCTGAAGTCATAGTCTGAGAATGTCTTCAAAGGCATCTCTAAAGAAAATGTGTCTTTTTGTGGTCAGATGATTTCTTGAATTAAAAAAGGGGGGCAAACCCCAGAAAACAAAAATGTCTTCCATCATTGTTGGTCTTTATCATTCTCTAGAAAAACTTTTATTTATGGATTAACTGGGAAATCATCCTTTTCAGAATTTTTCCTTTATAAGAAACATTCCCTTGAGGAACAAGAGTAATTTGAACATGACTTGGAGATTCTGGTGGAAAGCTTTATTAGTGATAATAATAATAGCATCAAGTACTTGATGTGCATTTGCTTGCCTTCTCTTGTGTTCTAAAGACCTTGGGTCTGGCATGTTGTCATTCCTGTCAGATAAGTAGAAAAATGAGAACTGGAAAACCAATTACAGCTGTTATTTTACTTCTGGAGGATGACCCATGTGAGACTGATCTTCATGTGAATTCTCTTAATTTCCCATAAGGAAGTCAGAGAAAGAGGTTTTTGTTTGCTTTTCTGAATTTAAGCAATGATGAGGCCTCTGTAGTTCAACTGAAGATAACAGCCTACGACACTTGGCTGCCAGACGTAAAAAGACAGATAATCACAGCCTTTTCTGTGTCATAGTATTTTTACTGCTATATGTAACAGTGTGCTTTTGTTTATTAAACAAGTGAGGAAGAAACCAAGAAAAGCCTCAGTGATGGAAGAACTGAAATCAGCCCTCCAATACACACAAGTCTAATGCAGACAAACCAAACATACAAGCTAGATTTTGGCAAGACAAATTTCTCGAATGGTGTGATTGGGCAGGAAGCAAAGGCAGGAGGAACCTGAAGGTTAAAATGAAAGACAACCCCCCCTTAAAAGCACAATCAGTCTAGAAGAATCCTGAAGTCCCTAAATAGGTGATAATTTTGAAAAAAAAGCAAGTATAATGGTATATCTGCAGAATGCACAAGTTATGAAACTTTTACTAAAAATAATTCAAGAAAGGATGGAAAAAGTTCTTCCAGTTTCTTTCAACTTATCTATGTACTTTTTACATATAAAGAACAATAGCTTTGCAAGTCAATAAAATGATAAATTGCTGAGCTCTGACCTACAATTAAAGCCGTTAACTACCTTCTCCTATTTTGCATATTGAACACACCAAAACACTAATTGAGTGTCTGATGCTGAAGCACTAATGGAGGGGTATCTGGAAACTATTGTAGGTGAACCGAGCTTGATAATTTCATGATGAACTACTACTGGTTTTACTGGCTATAGTTTATAAAAGAACAAAAGCCGAAATAAAACTGTTTGAAGACCTCATGATACAACTGAACTATGAACACCACTGATAACTGCATCGTTGCTAACTCTTTTCATATTCATCTCTAATACTTTACTATGTCTTCAGCTGTACCCATCTCAGGATATCAAACACTGTTTTAAAATATTAACTCAATCACTGACAAAACCAAAGCAAAACCTGATATGGACTGTAGGTGAGTGAAACGAAAAGGCCACCATTTTTGACATTTTGCTTATATATTAGATTTTTAAACCATATTCCTTTTTAATTACACAAATGAAGGTTAATTAAAGAATTTCTTTTGTTTGCTTTAGTTAAAAGCTAAAAAGTTAAAAATGCCAAACACGAAAACAGTCACAACTGAGAAGAAATAAACATGCAGGCAGAGGTAATAGTTATCATATTCCTTTGTGCCCGAATTATGTGCCAAGAACATTGCAATGCAAGTGATCCAGATGCAGAGAGCATCACACATGGACAGCTTAAATTTCAATAGTTGCCTGGTGTTTTGCCAGTATTTTCCTCTGTCTTCTTTTCCTGGCTTTCCTGTACTTCTAAGTCCTCCTCAGGTGGGTGGATTACTACTGAAGGAATATCATCACTGGCAGGTGACACCAGCAATTCCTTGCCCTGAAGTGGACTTGGCTGGGCACTTGTGGCTGGCGGGAGACTGCAGGTAGGACTGGAGGGTGGTGTGTTTTGAGGGGTAGTTATGGGGGTTGTACACCTTGAAGCTGCCGGGGTTCCAGCTCTTGAAGAAGGAAGAAGGTAATTGAGAAGAACTGACAAACGGTTTTCTCCTCTCAGGGAAATATTTGAGGCAGAGAGACCTGTTCGCAAAGAGTGGCGGGAGGCTGAAAGGCCTTCCCCTGAGATAAAACAAACGAAACACCATGAGGCTTACAACAGGGATATGTTAAAACAACAACACCAAAAAAAAAAACCAAACCAACAAAACCCAACAAACCCACACAGATACAAATACGCATTAACAATTTACATAGTAAATTGCAAGCTTTAAGGGCCAAAAGTGTCATACTCATGCAAGACGAGGTAAGAGCAAACCTGATTTCAGCCATTAGAAAAGTCAGAAATTACTGATGAGTAATACTTAGAATGCCAAAGATCTGTGGGAGAAGATATTATCTTAAGTCAAGAGTAAGACTGGTTAACCAAAAAAAAAAAAAAAAAAAAAATCTCTTGGACTTGACTCATTTTTCTAGTGGAATTTCTTATTCAAAATAGCACAGCAGCTACCATTAATGCCATCCAAAAAATACACCAAAAAATTATTAGCAACCAAAACATTACAAGACTTCAGTTAACTCTATACATTATATACAAAGAATTGTTAATTTTTTTAAAGTTAACATCAAACACATCTAATTGTGTTAAATGCAACTGTCTTCCAATCAAAGTCTTATTATTACTAAGAATTTTCCTAGGCAGCTGTAGCTTCAATATATATTTTTGAAGAGGGCACAAAAATTAGTCCCTTCATTTCCTCTTGCTATAACTTACTAGTAGCTTCATAAGCCTAAAACCAAACACATTTCTCAAAAATCCATTGTTATACTTTTTCCCTATCTAGTTTCAATGTCTCAATAATTGAAGAGAATGTAGTCTTGTCATGGCTGCCTCAAGTTGGTAATGGATTTCAGTTCTTCCTTAAGCAGGAAGAGAGACTGTTTATCCTCATATTAGTACTTCCATTAGAAGGTTTAGCCATACAATTTCTCCTGTTTACCAGAAACACTTTTCCTGGGATGGCAGCCTCCTTGAAAAGATTACTGATTACTTCTCCTACAATCCCTGAAATCCAAAACATGCTGGGTTTATGTACCATGCCATCAAGCAAGGAAACAGCAAACTAGACACATTTAAACTCACATTTATACTAGGCAGTACAGAGACCAGTACATTGAACAACTCTACAATAATTTACAAGGATGTGGTGCAGAAAATGGTAAAGGTCACATACATTCCCCTCCTGCACAAACAACGAAAGAGTGGATCCTACAGATACAAACCTGATTTAAATCAAGAATGAAAGCCTCAAAAATCAACTATTAAAATGACAAAACTGCAGTGCAGTCAGAAAAAAAAAAAAAAAGACCAATAGAGTAAACTGGTTGGTTTTGCATATATTAATCACTACAGTAATAACCAGGTTTCTATCAGTACACCTGTGATAAATCATGAACATGAGATGCCTTAACACACATGCATCCCTACGGAGCCTAAGTAGTATTATGCACATATGAATGTTTAGTTTTCTGGTTTATCAGAGGGTTACCATAGGATTATGAAGAAAACGTAAATCATATATGCTGACAAAGAATTTATCATATTATACTGGTTGCTTATTTCAGCATATATCCCATATTCTGTTGTAGAAATAGTATTAAGAATAAAGTGCACTGAAAAGTGGAGGTGATACATGAAAGGTAATTGACAAGCAAAAGACCTTGAATACAAAGTTCTCAGAATTACAGCTGGGGATACAGGTGTTCAAGAAAGGATAAAACCAAGAAGTTTTCATGTTTGCTGAATAAAACAGGAAAGTCAGAAGTTACAGAAGAAATTATGGTCTTATATAAATTAGTTGCATTTTCACTCTTGCAAAATATAGTTCCAAAACTAATCAGAGAAATATTTAAGCATACATCATACATTCACTGGCTAACAAAAAGTATCAACCTGGCACAGGTTGCCCAGGGAGGTAGTGAATGCCCCAACCCTGGCACTGTTCAAAGTCAGGTCTGGTGGGGAGGTGTCCCTGCCCATGGCAGGGGATTGGGACTAGATGATATGTAAGGTCCATTCCAACTCCTAAAATTCTATGATTCTATGATCAGCAAGCATGGGCATTCACTGAAGAATACTCCAACGTATGTACCAAGCTGAGAGCGCCTAACAAGCATTTAACTGAGTGAAACATATTCAGAGCAACGAGGCATCTTTCACGACAGGAAAGGGAATTCACTTCAAAGAGTGATTCATGAAATCAGTAGTAAGTTTTCACTAGACTAAAAAATTGCAGTTGAAATTCTATGTGTCTTAGTTAACGCTAAGCAAAACAAAGAACTGAGATAGAAATAGAAGCCCTAAGAAATCCAAGTATGCTGCTCTGCAGTGCATCTTGCTATTTGGACTTTTGAACTGGATGTCTATATTAAGTGTATTGTCAAGAATTGGTTAAAAAAAAGATGTGATACAGCTTCTAAAATCATGGACAATAGCTTTCTTGGGTTTTTTCCCCATTAGATCCTTCTCTACAAAACAAGGTAAAATAAACAGTCTCCTAGCTAAAAGTAATATCTTAACCATTGGCATTGTGAACTTTTTCCAGTCATATTACCACAACAACACTGGATTAAAACACAGTAATTCAGCATCACTGAACTCTTAACAGGACCACTAAGTAAATCTCTTGTACAAAGACTGTATAAGCAAGCAGGATCCATCTGACAGACATATAAAGTTATGCCACAATGCTGAAATGCCACAATGCTGAAATTCCGCAAACATGACACATTTTATTCAAGCATATTAAAAACCAGTAGGACCAACCTAGGTCTATTTCTATACGTTGAAATAATAATGCATGCTATGTATACAGGCAGGAGTAGAATGTTTGAGTAAATTAAAAAATATCCAGAAACATCACCCGCAGCTACACACACTCTTATCATTAGTTCTTTGCTTATCAAGAAGGAAACACTTATCTGCTATTATGAGCTGAGCTTTCCTTCATCTCCCAGTAAGACCGTTATTTAACAGGTTAGAACAAACTGGATGCTACAACTTATCTCACCATTTCGTTCAAGCAAGTGAGGGTCAGAATGTTTCTTGCCTATATCTGCAAAAGACCGAACAAGGGGAATCCGATTGCTGAATTTTTTCTCATTCTGATGATGGTGCCTTTTTAGAAGAGCCTCTCTCACATTCTCTCTTATGGATTCATCCAGCTGGCCAGAGGCAATCATGTTGTCCAAAACCATGTCTACATAATAACAACAAGAATAAAAAAGAAAATTAAAAAGATAGCTATCAAATCTATCCTTCACCACACTTAAGCACTGCAGTTGCACCAAACTTTAAGGAAACAAAGCAAATCTACTTTAAAATCAGGCTTTTCCTTAGGAAAGTCATCTTCAAGAATCCACAGGAAATTTTCAAAGACGTCACTAAACAAACAAATGTGACAATAAGGGAAGTACAATATGAGGACCCAAGAGAGAGTAGTATGAGTAACATCATTTCAATAAATAAATTAGTTAATATTTCATAATTTATTGTCATTTACTTAAACTTTCAATGGTGACTCCAGTTTAAAAAAATCATCTATTGTATTCAACAGCCCTCCACTAGAAGCGAGCACAGACAGAAACACAACAGATCACAGACTTAAGAGTTTGAACCTGGTGTTCCCTATTTTTGGAGCATATGACTATATAAAAGTGGAAGTTACTATAGAATGAGATTAATTCTGTAGCTCCTGTCTTCAGTTGCCATAAGTTCTTGAGGCTCTCTGCCAAACTTCATGTGATTCGCATGCTTTAGAAGTGTAAAACAAAATCTAGTTACATCATCTAAATGTAACTGATCATCTGTCAAACAACATCAAGTTTCAAAAGGGTATCTCAGCAGTATGATCACATCAGGAAAGCAAACCTGCCTGTCTAGGAAAATACCTACAGCCATTTCTTAGCAGCCCTTTTTTTTTAATAATAAAAAAGAAAATAATAATTTTAAAAAAACCCACCCCAATCTGCACAAACCAACACAAAAAACTTCATATTTTTCCAGATTTAACTGATGTATTGAGAACTTAACTGTATTACTAAACTGCAATTACATGGAGCTTTATACAGTGAAAAATGTTATGGCTCAGTATACCTTACAAAGAAAGCCATATGCAGCAAAGTCTCTCTATCAGTACAGTGCAGCTTCCTTCTGGTATTACTGGTAACACACAGTTAGAGCTTCTCAGAAGGAAACCTGCCACTCTCCCTCCTGTTTTGAGTAAGAATCAAGAATACTTACTAAGTATCCCTGGCTCATAGAAACAAGACAATACATTTGCATGCCAATGACTGTTAACCTACATGCTTCACAATGGCACCTAAAATTAACTCCAAACAAACTCATGTAATCTCTTAAGACATCCGAGTTCCAATTACAATACCTGCTATTAAGAGTGCTGTTTACACAGAACCGAGCAATAACTACTTTTACTAAGATTATTGCTAAATTCAATTATTAAAAATAGATTATAAACAAAATGTTGTGTTTACAGATAGTGTACTGAACACTTTTGCCCAGTAAGTCAGAAAAATAGGAAGGGAATACCAATTTCCTGAGTGAATTTCAAAGACTTCAAAACAAGAAAACATTTCAAACACTGTGGAAGTTTTTAACACCAAAACACCTTGTCCTTCACATCCATGTTGGCCAGCCCTAAGCCTAGTATGATTCCTGAAAAGGCATTCTACTGTGTGGTATCTGTGGCAAGAGATACCAGCAAAATTTTGTAAAACTAATTCAAAGGCATTCAGATTAAGCAGATATACATAACGTGTATGTATGTGCATGTGTGCATGTATCACTAATATATGAAAAAGTCTCCAAAGCTGACTTTGTAGTATCCAAAATGACCATGTGATTAGTGAGGACACTCAACATAGGTCGAACAACATGTACAAAATTTATTTCTGCTCACCTCTTATAAAGGTGAAAAAAATACCAGATGTGCAACAACCAGCTGCACTAATGGCATCAAGTTAGCATCAGCCAAATTATGATTAATAATTATGGTACTAAAGTGCACAAATAACTCCTAGAATGTTCTGGCAGATATTTACAATTCATCTGTAGAAACAAAGACAAATAACATATTCAGGGATTAGAACATAAAGGCAAATTCTGGGCCTCATCCTAAAACACATAATGAAGGCTGTACTATCCATCCAGTGTAGCTCTTTTGTAGGAAGTTTGTAGGACCAGCTCCTTACACCCAGATCAAGAAAACTGCAGTAAGCATACACATACCTGTTTCTTCAATAGAGTACTTTGAAAAACATAAATAGAAACACCAGAAACACCTCAAGTTAAAGATAAAATTTAGGAGTAAAATATTTTTTAAAAGTTTTGCTGCAACCTGCTATCTCATCAAGTGTGTTTGCTCTCATGTCCAACATGACCGTCCCATTAAGAATACAGCTTCGCAGTTCAAAGAGACTGTGCAGAGACAGAGTTGCTACATAAGGCTTGCTCCATCGATCACCACCATCTTCAACATCCTCTTCAAATTTCAGCCACCTGAAATGCATTCACATACATGTATTTGTATTTCTCATGGAAAGACAATTTGGCAAGCAATCCCATTCTTCCCCGTGGCTTCAGTATGGCATGGAACAGGAAATTACATGAAATCATACCAGTTTTCATTTTCTCAAGACAGTCCAACTGATTGACATTTATATCAGGTGTTTTAACCACACTCAACTGTTTTAACCAAACTCAACAATACCTGTCTATTCACGAGTTCCAGTCAAGAGTGTGGGATTCTGCCTTGTTACTTGTTTTGCCTATCTTGATTTCATCAGTAACTCAGGATTAGAAAGCTGTCTGGAACACACCGTATAGTATGTTCAGATCTCCAAGGGTGTGAAGTCAGACCTTTAAGAACTAGGCAATACTAATATGAGTAACTATAAATTGATCTTGATTCTGACTCAGACATTATGAAAATTGAACTTATGCAAAAGCCAGCACACAACAAGGTAGTTGCAAGCACTGAATGCAGAAGAATTTATTATAATACATATGCAGAAGAAAGCAACTCAACCAGTATGGGGCAAGAAGAGAACATGGCACCCTGTAACACTGATGCATGCAATTTGCTAAAAAAACAATCAAATGCTACCAAAGAACATATGTAAACACTCATGTGGGATTTTTTTTATGTTTGACTGAGGAAAAAGAATGGCACTAATATATCAGCATTCATATACCAAAGAGATTTCTGAGATGGCAAAAAACACCTGTTTTTATAACTCAACACAGTCCTGCCTTTCACAGTGCTTGGTATGATCAGTTTTAGGAAAGTCAACACAACACCAATAAGACTGGAAGTCTCTTGAGAAACCATATTGATTCTTTCAGAGTTGGACAAAAAAGAACTGGTCTGCTGAGCATGAACTGAGTAATTCCTATAGTCAGTGAAAATTCTAACTCAAACCTTGCTTGCAGTTCCTCAAAATAAAATCACAGGAAGCAATACCTTGAAAAAATCTACTCCTAGCATACCTAGCTGTTTCTTTCCATTCATATTCTTCTCCATCCCTGAAGCAAAGTTCATCCATTTCAGTGAAGAGATCATGAGGAATGTGTTCATCATCATCTTCAGTACCCAAGATAAACTGTACTCGTTGGGAAGGTGTGTCTTGAAGAAAAGGAGAAACTGAACAATCAAAATAATTCATACTTCTAAGACACAAGAAACATCACATAACAGTAAAATCTCCTGTTCTCAGCTAGAAATGTGCAACACAATATCCTCTTTAAGAGGGGAAAAGGAACAAAAGAAACATGGGCATCTCTAAACAAAGGCTCTCTGAAAATTTTTCATTGCTTCTGAAAACAAAACATCTGTAAATTCATGCTTATGAAAAGTTTTCAGCTCTTCTATAGTTTACCAATATGTGAACAAACATCAGCAGCAAAACTGGTCAAAAAAAGAAAAAAAAAAGAAAAAAATTAATATACCAAAGGGCTAGAGGCCTTGTTTTCACTTTGAGAACCAAATAAATGATACCATCATGACACAGACACAAATTAAAAAAGAGAAGACAAAACAGGTTGATGGAAAGAAAAAGCCTGGCTTATAGATTGGTTGACCTGGCAATAGTTCAAGATGCTCAACAGTGGGTACTCAGGCACTCATTGTTAGAGCAGCAGATTCTTCCATGGTGTGTTACTACTTACATAGGATGAAAAAAAATATTTTCTTATTGCATGGTTGGAGCCTTGTATATAAATTCGCATAGGAAAATAGAAGCTATGCACCTAAAATGTTGAGGAAACATTTTAACTTCTCACAGTATACTGCCTAGTGAAACAGGCTCAGCAATAACTTGTAAGAATATTAAACTATCTTTATTGATCAAAGTAGCACTGGAATCCACTGCTATAAGCAAAACTTAAAAAAACCCCAACGCAATAAAAACACATGGGTTTAGAGATATATTAATACCTACACAGATTTTGTTTCAACTCAAGTGAGCTTTCAAATTGTAAGGGTTCGATAATGTAGTAATCACAATGTTACCTCAAGTATGGTCAAAGACAGAAAAACCAGGTAAATTTCAACTGTAAAATTTTACTTGTTCACTGAAACATCACTCTCACAGCTGCTAGATCTGAACATATAATCGTATACTTCTACTGCAGCAGGAAGATTGTCTTTTAGATTTAGACATAAGGTCTGAATTACTAATAAACTTAATTTGGAACTGAATTTTGCTTTTGCATTGTTGTTCTGGCATACATCATCATCCAATAACACAATTCTGAAATGAGTGCTTGAATGCAAACAACATTCAATATCAATTAAGACCTACAGCAGATTGTTTCTGTCCCAAAACCAACAAATCCCAAGAATCCTGCCATATCCTGTGTATCCAGGATAGAGAACTAACCAGAACAGAGATGTGAATTTCTATCAATTTAGTATCTCTTGTTGCTTCAAAAACTGTACAGCAAGACTCTACAAACATAGTATCAATTATAATAATTTGTATTTGGGAGGGGAAACTTTGAAGATGGATGAAGCCAAGAACTGTAGGAGAATGGTAAAAGAAGACCTGTCAAAGCATTCCAATTTGAAGACTCCTTTGTTTCAGGCATTGCCCCCATGAAAAACATGATTCTAGTCATACAAAGCTAATAGTGAACAACATAGGGTCCACACTTGAATTCCAATTCATCATAACCTTCCCACTCACTGCAGTCTAGGAATTAGAGTGGATTTAGGGTCTTAAGCAAAAACTGCTAAAGAGTATTGTCAAATAATTTAATTGTGGATAATGATATGACAAAACCGTCATCTCTTGAGGATAAGGGGTGGGACAGGAGGCAGTTTATGATCCAAACCCAAAACTTAGGAGGCAGTATAATTCCTTTCATAACAGACAAGAAGGCTGAAGTAAATATTTAAATAAAAGACATCATTGATCAAATTACCATGGCAAATGCTGCTTCACAGCTATACTTTTGAGAAATCAGAAGTAGCAGCATACAAGACTACACAATCTGAAAAAAGGTGTCAAATTTAAATAACACATTATGCTGCAGGAGAGCATTACAAAGCTCTAGTATAACCTATTCAGTGCAGGCTGCTGACCACTCAATGCAGACAGCTGGATGAAGTCCAATAGTTTATGACTCAGATAAAACACAACCACAAAATCCCTGTCTGATTGTACACAGAACAACATTGATTGCAGCGAGAATAAAAGAAATAGCAATAAACAAACAACATTTAATCACAGAGTAGCTACAGAAAGGTTATTTTCAAGAGATACAAAACTCACGCAACAGACTTCTTACCATATGATGGAGATTCTCGGCCATCCTCTCTGTCAGTTTCTTTTTCTTTTTTTCTTCTGTGATGCCTGTGCCCACGATGTCGATGCCGTCGACGGCCTGGCTTTCCAAGTGGGACGTGCACTCCAATATACACAGCTCTATGGCCTTTTCAAGAGAGTTTAAAAGGAAACAATTAAACAAAAACTGATCTCCTGCTAAAATTTCATGTCTAAAGACAAGGGGTTTGAGATAAAGAAATCCAAAAGCACTTGACAAAACTACCCTTAGTGAACTAGTATGAACATTTCCTTTCTGTCCTTCCAGAGTGTCAAGGAACTAGTACTATATTCATTCCCTTGACAAACCAGGCCATATTCTTATTCAGTTTAAGAAATCAGTTGTAAAACGAGTAATACAGAAATAAAGCTTGGCCTTTAACCCTGAAAGAAGCTACTTGATAAACACAAGGCCAAGGCAGAGAAATTACACAATACTCTTTTGCAGGGATTCATGTCAGGATAGTTGTTAGAATGGCAAAATATAATTTCCTAGTTCGGCTTATGAACTTCATGAAGAAATTAATCATTTAAAGTCTGGAAGAGGTTTTCACCCCTTGAAAGAGCAGCCAGTATTTCCTCAACTAGCATGTGACACATCTAGGTGAACCTAATGCTCAGTTATGCCATTAATTTAGTACCAGGAGCATAAAAGGAACTTATACTTGAAATGTATGTCAACATATCAAATAACTTACAGAGAGGGTGGGGGGTTTATTCTATTCTAGAATGTTTTATTGAATTTAGGAGCACACCCTTAAATTAATACATAATGCTCTTTAAAACATGTACTTTCAAAATCTTGTTTTTCCTTTGACCTTTCACATTAAGACAATACCAGCATCAACAACTTGGCAAAAGAAATGAATCAGACTGTTATGAACATATTAGTACCGTGTCTCCTGTGATGGAGTTTGTATATACAATAGCCTTTTCAATTCCTTTTTAAACAAACAAAACTCAGGAAGAAACATTAACTATTAAGCTGGGAAGTTGACACTAAATACTTTGTTTCATACTGTAGAAGAGTTATTACAGAAGACAGACATTAACCAAAGGAAAAGGAAGTGGTTTTCCAGCACTTAGATGCAAATTCAGCAAATTTACATTAGACAAGCAAGCCCTAGGAGTTATGACTGTACACATACATACATACATACATCTCTGTGTGTGTAGCACACATACACTAGAGTAAAGTTATTGAAAAATCCTGGTGATTGCAGAGCTTTATAGAAATAAAGAGTGGTATGATGTCAACCTCGTTTTCAAAAAACAGAATCCGTAAGCTCGAAAAGATACTGCCTTAGAGAAGTTCTGTGTATTTTTATAGCACTGCAGACTAAAAATACAACCAAAAACGTCAGTATTAATGCATGAATAAGTTCAACATATAATTAATTTGGTCGAGATTCCTTTTCACATTACAAGACCCAATTCTTGACCAACTTCCAACACTAGTTTAATTAGAGTCGACTGATTGGCACTAGGACCAAATCTGAAATTAAGCATATTAAAAGCTATTTGTTCCCATGTAAGAGTGGAAAACAGATTAATTTTCTGAAGTACTCATCAGTCCTATTTATAGAGAGACATGTCTTTTGTGAGCTCCTTCCAATAAGAATAGTTAGCCCCTGCTGGACAGCCTGACCTCTGCCCTCCACGACTGCTATGCACAATGCAATTTCCAGAGAAATTAATGCCAATGTGACACCTAAACATAAATCAGTGCACTTGATATGTAATATGACCAGGAGGCACCATTAACAATGGCCATGTTACTGATAACATGACACAATAATCTTAAGCACAGGGAAAGCAAAAGTACTAAGCTCAAAAATAGCTGTGCTACTCACTGCACCCCACTCAATGCTGTGGTTGTGCTCTGGTGCAACCAAGTGAGCAACCACTCACTGCAAATGCTGTTATCATCCCTCTTAGAATTTCTGGTTTATTCTATATATTCCATTAACAACTATTAAACTACAGCATATATATACCTACTGAAACAGTTTTATTTGTTGTCAAAGTGTTGGATTTTTTGCAGGAACTACTTTTTCCTAAGAGAAACTCTATAATAGAGCACTTTATACAACTGCTTTTTTACAATGCTGTTAATACGACTGTATTAAGCATTGTGTTTTGATCACTGCACTAAGAAAACCTGCAGGAACCTCAAACTGTTCAAGATTTTACTTCCTGAAAAAATTAAAAGAACTTCCAGAGTTTGGTCTCTTGCTGTTCCCATAAATCAAGACAAAAATCTCACATTGCTTTCTGTACTCAAAAACCAAACAAAAATCCCACACAGTTTTTTCAAGGTGCTCCATCATAAACAACTCACCCAGCTATCGCAAAAATCAGCATTTTTAAGTGTGATCATTCCCACAGTCAGACCATGCTGCTGCACGGAGGAGAGGTGGAACAAGTAAATAAGGAGTCTATCTCTTTTTATAAAACTGCAGTCTGATCGAATTTTTTCTCAGTAGAAAAGTCTGGAGGAGAACAGATATGTTGCAAGGGGAAAGGTAAAAGCTATGGAAAACCAAGCTGAAATAAGCAACAAACCAAGGGTATATTTGAACAACTTGTGTCCACAGTAAATTGCTTTCCCACACCAAAACTCAGCTGTCACTATCACAGAATCATGTCCAGGTGCCTCTTAGCTGCTTCAAGGCACACCAAGGAGGCACTGCCAACTCAGTACACAATCCGGGCAGTCAGCCCACAATCTACAACATTTGATATTGCTTTCTATGCTGAGAGCAAACTTTTAAAAAAGCACCTTCTCACTACCCTAATAAATGAGGGCCTGACAAAGACAGGGGAACAGACCAGCAATGGCTTATCCTACCCTTCAGCCCACACTGCGCAGGAGTGACTACTGTATGGACTGGCTGTTTCCTCATGTAAGCATGATCTTGCAGGCAAATGTAAAACAAGAATACCTTCCCCAAACCACTTCTGTATATGCAAAGCAGTCAGACTGCCACACCTGCAACAGTATTTCGGGACTGATGAGAAACGTTGATGAGCAGGATGATTCTCAGCAATTACGTAAAATGCATCACAACCCAATTGCAATGCTATCAGAATAACTTCAAGAAAAAACTTGATGCTGAAAAAGAGCCTCTGATTTTTTTCCTTGCTCAGAGCAAGTATTGAGGGTGGCAGTAGAACAGGCTAACCAAGGAAAAATCTGGCTATTGCAAATAGCAGCTTATGCGTGTGCCAGACTGTTCCCTTAAGAAAAAGGCCTTTTTTGGTATCATGAACAGTCATAAATAAAGACATCTCAACTACTACCTAGAGAATCCAAAATTGCTGCTGTTGAGTATAATGTCATTACACAAAAACACCTTGCAGGATACTCAACTCCAAAGGGCAAGACAGAACTGGGTAATAAAAGTTGGACCAACTTGACTCTGATTCTAACTCCAAGCGAAGCACTGAGAAGCCCTCTACAAAATAAGACAGCTGCATTGAGTAAGTCTGTGTTCCTATAAGTTTTATTATTCAGATAGGAGCAATAATGTTTGAAGATGGCAAGATAAAAGATTTACATACAAACAGAACTTACAAGGAAAAGAAAAACAAAAGAAAAACACAGGGACCTTTATTTCTTCATTCCAAATGAATTGGGTGAAACAACTTATAGTTCCTTTCACTCTGGCCAAAAATAAAAAACCCAAAATCAGAAAAGGCAATTAATATAAAATTAATATAATTGCAATGGAGAAAAAGTTAACCCTTAAAAGGCTGGAATTTGTATTTCTAGCATCAGTGTTATTTCTAAAGGTAACACAACCTTTTACTGGAATATCATTTTTAAAAGCTTGTAAAGTACAATTATGTGACCTTCAAAGCTTTATCCACACAAATGTCTGTACCACAGTACCACTTTCAAGCAAAGCTTCTTATAGAATTACGATAAACCAATAATCAATAGAATTAGTAGACCGCCCAATACTAAATTTAGTAATACAAAGCTCAAGAGATAGTTGCTCATTTTAATCCAACATGACTTTATCCAAGCTTAGCTGTTCAAATCCACCAAGAGTATTTACTACTTAAGGCCCTTATCAGTATGAAACAAATTTAAATGTTAGGAACTTGCAACGTGTCTCCACCACATGGTTGGTCTCAGTCCAAAAGTCAGTTTGTACAAAGACCTATAAAATTCACAGAAGAGAAAATGCTCTAAGTTCCCTGATTTCTCCCCAAAGCCCATATGAAAATGGTAATAGAAGTCCAAGAACGATCAAAAAACATTTGTCCAAAAATTTTCTGATGTGGCAACCCTTTCAGTACAATTCCACACAGAACTTTCTCACTTCTTTCGCTAGGTGCCTTTCAAGCTTCACACAAAGAAGGACATTCTTCCCCATGTTAACAAGGGAAAGCAAAGAAAATCAAGTTTATGTGAATTCTCAAATCCTGTTACTTAGAAATTTTAATTTGTATTTATTTAAATTTGAAATTGTATTAATGAAGGATATAAGGACCACTAGAGGTGAGCTACCTGGTCAAGTCTTGCTCAAAACACTGCCAGCTTAAAAGCTGAAGCCATCTTTTGGATTAGGTTGGTTAGGATGACAACCAGACAAGCTTTCAGTATCTTCAAGAATATATACTCTACAGTCTCTCCAGGCAATCGATACCAATATATAGCAACATACTGCATGAAAAAGATTTCCTAATACCAAATCATCACAACCAATATTGCATCTTATGTGTGGTCTCCCTCACCCTTTCACAACGCACCTCCAACAAGTGTGCGACTTGATCTTCTCAATGAGCTTCCAAATCTGTTGAAGACAACATCTTCATGATAAGAATTACTATTTTTTCAGAAAATCTTCAAATAATAATCTGAAAATAGATCATTTATTTTATATGGAAGCCTTTACTTAATCAGATAATGTCATAATCTATCTTGTCCTAGCATGGAGCTTTCCAGTATGGAAGAACTGGATCTGCAGGAGACATCCTAATCTGCTCCTTAAGATCATAAAATGGGGAAAAAACTCCAGATGTTTGATGTCTTTTAACTCACATCTCCAAATGCATTACCCTAGAAGGAAAGACTTGAACTAGAGCATCCTATGCCCT